AGAGGACTGCGCACTCACGACAGCCAGCCTGTGCAGGACCTTTCACATCAGAACAGCACGTGGTTTTCTCAGGACCACGGGATTCTGTGTGATTTTGACTCTTCTTTCATATGTGTTCAAAATGTGTCCCCCTCTCTCCCCTTTCCCTGTAGCATGAATAATGAAAAGCCAGAGATAGATATTGGGGTTCAACCTGAAAACCAGAAAAACAAAGCAGCCAAGCCACTAGAGAAATCTTAACCTCTACCAAGGCTGGGCGACGGCAAACTAAACAGACTAAGCCTCTCTCTCCTTCCGTTTTATATTCCCTCTAGTGCTGGGATTAAGGGCCTGTGACTCTGTAGGACTGGGATTAAAGATGTGAGCCACCATCCCCACACTGGGATTTGTTTGTGCGTTGAGTGTAGCTCAGGGTGGCCTTGAATTCACAGAGTTCCGTCTGACTCTGTCTCCCAAATCCTGAGATTAACGGTGTGTGTCACCTTTCTCTGACCTGTAGTGGCTTTAGTTTTGTCTCTGGTCTTCAGGAAAGATTTATTTATCAAAATATAAATAATACATCACTACACTTCCCCTCCCTTATCTTTTCTCTGTTTCTCTCTCCCCTTCCTTTTCTGTCATGCACTACTGCACACTCGTGCACACACAGGCACACAGCAACTCTCAGCCTGCAGCGTCATGGAGAAGTACAGGGCACAAAGCCTCAACTCTCTGATAGCAACAGAGACGTGGCTGCCTGGCCTATTATGAGCATAAAAGAAAAAGAAAAAGACTTCAAGTGTTGATTTTGACAACAGAGCCATTTCTTTTTTCTTTTCTTTCTTTTTTTTTTTGTTTTGTTTTGTTTTGTTTTTTTTCGAGACAGGGTTTCTCTGTGGTTTTGGAGCCTGTCCTGGAACTAGCTCTTGTAGACCAGGCTGGTCTTGAACTCACAGAGTTCCGCCTGCCTCTGCATCTCAAGTGCTGGGATTAAAGGCGTGTGCTACCACCGCCCGGCTAACAGAGCTATTTCTAAAGGCAGCAACTTTACAGAGTAGGTGATAAAAAATTTTTGTTCTCTCTGGTGCTAGGAACTTGGAAACAATTTGAGCAAACACTATGATCAAAGGAAAAAAGAACCAGATTTTTCTTTGCATATATTTTAAGACCCTTATGTTAGAAGCAGCTGGAGCAATCTCAGCAGTCTCCCTCCTCCCTAGTAATCATTTCTACATTTCCACGATAACGCATTTGCCTGTGTGTCCTCTTCAATTACCTACTTGAGACAATTGTAAAAGACTCTATGAAAAATGAGCTAGTTGGCCATGATACTGTTTCTAGTTTTTCTCATTTTTTTTTTACAAAGGAATAAATTGAAGCAGTGGACTTGTCAAAGTTATGGGTCCTAAAAGATATATCAGCTTCTCCCACCTGATGGGACACTCATATTCTAGAAACATCCAGTGTGAGCGTCAGCCTAGCCAATTTTCCCATCAAACATCAGGACACAAGGGCTGGAGAGATGGCTCAGCAGTTAAGAGAACCAGCCGCTCTTGGAAAGGACCAGAGTTTGATCCCCAGCACTCCTGCCCCTCACAGTCGATATTCAATGAACACTTCATTCTGATGAAGCATTGAATGCGCACTACCATGTCCCAATTTTTTAAAAAGATTTTGTATATTCTAAGTATATGAGTGTTTTGCTTGCATGTATGTCTGTGTGCCGTGTGTAGGTAGTATCCCCTGGAGCTGGAGTTACAGGCGATTGTGAGGGGCAGGAATGCTGGGGACATGGTAGTGCGCATTCAATGTTTCATCAGAATGAAGGGTTTATTGAATATCGCCTAGGATGTTCATGTTGCTGCCCCAGCACACAGAGGTTGGGAGGAGAGTGGCAACCGCTCAGTCTTGGTGCATTTGAGACAAGGACTGATTCCTCCATATTATGGTTAAAAAGCAGAGTAGGGCCATGGAGGGGGAGAGGGGACAATACACTCAAGAGTGAGAAAAACGGGAATATTTTCCATATGTAGGGTGTCTTGCAAATGCAGTCATTTCTAAAACTGGGGATTTATTTATTTATTTATTTCTACAGTATCCTTCCTGTAGGCCAGAAGAGGGCACCAGATCTCGTTATAGGTGGTTGTGAGCCAACATGTGGTTGCTGGAAATTGACCTCAGGACCTCTGGGAGAGTAGTCAGTGCTCTTAATCGCTGAGCCATCTGTCCAGCCCTAAAACTGGGTTTTTGTCAGGTTTGTGTGGTGTTGTGGTTTGTGAGAATGTCCCCCACTGGCTCAAATATTTGGACATTTGGTTGCCATTAGCTGATGCACTTTTTGGGAAGGTTATGGAACCTTGGGGGGGGGGGGCGTTTACAGCCTTGATAGAAGATACGTGTCCTGGGGGTTCATAATCTCACCCCACATCTAGTTTTCTCTTTCTGCCTCGTTCTTGTTAAAGAAGTGAGCTCTCGCAGCTTCCTGTTCCTGTTACCATGAGTATCACCTGTCACCGAGCTCCCCAACCATGATTATCCATTATCCCTCTGGGACCATAAGTCATAATAAACTCTACCACCCCATAATTGCTTTGTTAGTGTTTTATCACAGCCACACAAAGTAGTTAATACATATGGCGACCCTTTCCTCGCCCTAAGAAACAATATGCTCACGTTCTAAACCCTAGAAACTGAATCTATAACAAAACACCAGAGTCTGGATAATTTATTCAGACACAACAGAAAATTCACAGTCATAGAGGCAACGAGTTGGAGATGAAGGGACCAGCGGATTTGGTATTTAATGAGGGTTGTTGTTTGCTTATGTCTTGTTTTTTTTTTTTCCCCCTCAAGACCTTTCCCTACCTACTGGTGCAGAGCCTCTCTCCTGCACTTGTTCAGAGAGCCCATGCTGTACCCCAGTCTCACCACAGATTTTGCAGGGGACATGCACAGTGTTATTTGGAAAGGAGCTTTTTGCTGTAGCTAAGACAAGCATTTTGACAAGAGGCCATCTATGGAAGGAGGACCAAAGGACAGCCAGCAAAGACAGTGGTCACACACCAGGTGGAGCCTGGGGAGGTGCAACTCCAGAAGAGGGGATGTTGACAGCCACCAGCAGTAAGGAACCAATATAGGGATGCCCAGAGCAGTGGGTTCTCAACCTGTGAGATACGACCCCCACAGGGGTTGCATATGGGATCTTTACATTACAACTCATAACAGTAGCAAAATTACAGTTATAAAGTAGCAACAAAATAATTTTATGGTTGGGGGTCACCACAACATGAACTGTATTAAAGGGTCACAGCATCAGGAAGGTTGAGAATCACTGTGCTACATTGTCCAGATGGGACAATGCCCAGACAACACTCTGCATCTGAAGTTTATTCTCTAGAAGGCTTCTCTTTTGCTGAAAGGCTCCAAGGCAAGCCGATGAGTAGAAAAGGGCTCAGACTTTAGGTTTGTTTGTGCTAGGATTAAAGGCGCGTATCATTATACCCAGCTTCAACCACCTTTTAAAAACACAGCTTTAAAGCAGGCGGTGGTGGTGCTTGCTTTTAATCCCAGAACTCGGGAGGTAGAGGCAGGTGGATCTCTGTGAGTTTGAGGCCAGCCTGGTCTACAGAGCTACTTCCAGGGCAGACTCCAAAGCTACATGTAGAAATCCTGTCTCAAACAAACAAACTAACAAAAACAACCAAATAGAAAACTAGAAAGAAATGCCGTATTCTGAGGACATCATTTCCCCCCTTCTTCCTGCTGCCTGGAATATGAATGTGATGATTGATCTCCAGATTCAAAGATAAAGTCTGGGAGTCTATTAACCTAAACACACACACACATACCAAAACAAATTTTTAAAAAGGAAAGTTAGAAAAGAAAGAAAAATCAAGTCCCAGAAGCCTTTAATGAGGAGAGGGAAGAAACAGGTAACTTCATAAAAAATAAATACAAAAACCTTCCCTTGCTCCCTCCCTGTGGAAAGGCAGGACAATTGGTCCCAATGTTCCCCTGCAGGGCAGGCTTTGTCCAATGGCAAACCAGAGGTCAGCGTGTTGCAGAGCTGCACCGGGAGGATTCCACACTAACGCCTAGGCACCTACCCTTTCCCCTTTGAAGCTGTTAGGGGGTTTTGGAGGGTGGGAAAAAATTGATTTCAGGGGTTATTAAGTTTAAAATATTGGTTCTATAATATTGCTCAGCTTTAAATACTGCACACGTGTTTGTGAAACACCATGAATTCACCCAAAAGTTATGTTGTCAGAGGGCTCTGTCTCATCCCACCCTTCCTGCCTCCTGCTCAGGTCAACTTAGTGTAAGAGACTCTCAGCTGGACTCCCCACATCCTAGCTTCACACCATGGTCCCCTAAAAGCTGCCTTTCTGGGCCTGGGGTTGTGGCTCAGTGTGCAGAATAACAGACTAGCAAACAAGAAATCCTGGACTACCGGAGGTCGCCTTTCCCCTCCGTTCCTCAGAATCTTGCGGCAGCAATCCTCCTGCCTCAATCTCTGTATTGCTGGAACTGCAAACTGCACCCCTGAAACCTGGCTCCATAAGCTGTTCTCCACTCTCTTCTTCTGGAAGTTCACTGAACTTAGTTCAGAGATTCCAGGGTCTAAAATAGGATGAACTGTCTGGCCTAAGGCTTCAGAGTCCAGGGTCCCCTCAAAGAGTAAGTCTCGAACCTCATCTCTGCATTTGGGCTTGCACCCCACATCTCACCTGGTCCTGGTGTGGTGGGGAGGGCAGTCTCAGTCTCCTAGCCACCATGTTGCATGTGGGAACCCTCTAATGGACACCATGGGGGGAGATACAGGCTACCTGTGTGTGGTCCCCGGAACAGTGGAACAGTGGACACCTCTCACCTTCCTTAGCTCGTGGATGCCTGACACCTGGGCTCGTGACCCTTCCCCACCCGCTAGTTTCCTCAGGTCCCCTCAGGTCCCCAGCCCTCCCTTCTCCCTCCACTCCTCCCTTCCCTTTTTGACCCCTCCCCCTCATCTCCTCCCCTCCCTATCTTTCCCCTTTTCCTTCCCTCTTTCCCTTTCTCCTTTCTCCTCCTGAACCTGCCGCTCCGCCTGGGAGCGGCGGGCGGGGCCGAGTCCACCCGGACCCCGCTGAGGCCCGGGGCCTGGTGGCTCAGTCCTTGGCGGTAGCGACATGCGTCTCCTGTTCCTGGCGGTGCTGCGGCCACACACCGGCAATGCGATCACCGCCGAGCGCCTGCGGTATGTTGCGTGCGGGGCCTGAGCATCCATCGCCTGGGGATACCGGGCTGGGCCGGGCGCCGGAGCTGCGCGTGCACAAACGGCTGGGCCATGGGCGCAGGTGCCGCGCGGGGGCTGCCGCTTTTAACCCAGCTGCTGCTACCCTGTCTGGCTATTGTGAGTGCCCTAGGGTGCGGAAAAGGGGCAGCCTGGGCCAGCGCTGGCGGGGTTGGGGGAAGACTCAAAGGCTCCGCAAAGGCCTCGGTGCAGGGATGGGGTTTGGGCAGACTGGCCTGGGATGCGAAGGGGGCACCCACGTGGCTGGGGAAAAGCAGAGTCCCAGTGAAAGGTAGACCTACATGGCTGGAGAAAGGCCCCGAGACCTGGTGGATGGTCCAGCACGTGCAGGGATCCAGGGTCCATATTCTGTTGCAGCTGTTCCCCGCCCGCACCTCCCATTCGGTTCTCTTCCGAATGCTCATCTTATCTTGTTAGGTCCTTTGCTTTGTTTACCTGGGATGGAAGCCGGAGCCAGGACAAGGCAGGGAAGGAGGGTCCATTCTCTGGCCATCCGATCGCCTGGATCAAACAGGGCTGGTCAGTATTAGTGGGAGATAGAAGTTAGCTTGCTCCCCCGTCCTCTATCTCCCTCTCGCCCTTAACCTGCTTCATGGAATTTCCCAATGGCTTCCCCCTCTGTGGGTCTGTTTCGTCATCACAGGACAGAGGGGACAGAGCCATTGAGGCTACTCCAGCCCCTCACAGACCACGTTCAGCTTGAAAATGTTACAGTTCCTCTCAGAATCGCAGTGAACAACCAGTGGAGGGTGGATGCTTTCCTGAAGTTTCCTGGAGAAGAGACAGGGTTTGGATTGTGTGGGTCTCCCCTCCATCTAGTTCAGTCACTCATTGGGCTCTCTGTGGGCGGGTTTTAGACAGAGCTCTTTGCAGTGGAAGAGACACAAGAAGAACAAACAGAGAAGTCAATCATTCCAGAGGGTGATTGTGCTATCAGGCAACTAAAACCAGGCTGGGAGTGTGGCCAAGTTGGTAGAATGTTTGCCAAGCAAGCATACTTGAATCTCTGGGTTCTATTACCAGCACCGTATATAATCCAGGTATTGAGGTACATGCCTATAATCCCAGCACTTGGGAGATGAAGGCAGGAGGATAAGAAAGTCAATGCCATCCTCCTCCACCTGCCAAGTTCTAGGTCAAGACAGCTACTTAAGCTCCTATCACAAAAACAAAACAAAACAACAACAACAACAACAACAAAAACCTTTGTGTTGGAGGGGGTCCTTCATGCAGTAGGGTCCAGGCTATGCTCTTTGTAGAAGGAGCTTGCAACCTAAGACCAGAGGGGAGGCGTTTACCCAGATCTGGGAAGCTAGGTCTCGAAGGACTAACAATAACACAGGTCTTGAGGTTAGTGCAAACTTGAGCTGTTCAAGATATAGCAAGTTGGTAAAAGCCATCCAGCTGCCTTGTGCACTTGGTGGGAAGAACAGATTGTGTTTAAGATTAGCATTTAAACATTAGGCACATGTTAGCTAACATTTGACTCTGTGGGTGGGAAAAGGTCCAAGGTTCTCTGGAGCGAACTGATATCGATAAATAAATTATTATGTAAAAGGAGGCTGTCACAAAGCAGAATTGCTCATTAACCCAGAAGTGTGTGCGCCCCTTTCTACAGAGGAAGGGCATGGAGAATGTGTGCCCTTCCTAAGGGGATTCGTAAATGATCTGGGGGAGGCCTTGGTGGGCTTAGAGAAGCTCACATTGCCCTGGGATGAAGGTGTAGACTCACAGAACAGTGAATGGCTGTAAATGATTCCTAGTGACATTGGACAGTTCCAAAGTCAGGCACAATGGGATATGATAAAGGCCTATTCATCCATCACGCTGTTATGAGACGTGAGGATCACAGTGTGAGTCCTCAATAAGCAACAACCTGTCCTAAATAAGCCAATTAAAAGAGACACAGAAATTTTAACATGTTACATACTCACACACACACACGGATATAATTTTGTTTCATTTGTTTTTTAAGACAGGGTTTCTCTGTGTTGCCCTGGTGGTCCTGGAACTTGCTTTGTAGACCAGGCTGGTCTCAAACTCAAAGATCCACCTGCCTCTACCTCCTAAGTGCTGGGATTAAAGGTGTGCGCCTCTATACCTGGCTAAAAAAAATATATTTTAATATTTTTAATTGTGTGTACTTGTATGTGCCTGTAGGGATATGTTTATGTGAGTATAGAGTCACAAAGAGGCCAGAAGCGGGTCACTGGGTCCCCTGGATCTGGTTTATAGGTGGCTGTGAGCCTCCAGACATAGGTGTTACAGAAAGTTTGTTCTTGAACCCCTCTTTTTAGCATGGGTGCTGTGGATGTGAACTTGGGTTCATATGCTTATGCAACAAGCAGTCTTAATTCAAATCCACCGAGCCATTTTTCCAGACCCCGAGGTGTGACTTTTGTCTTGATCTAAAGAGGCCTAACTTGACATCACTGCAGCCATGACAGACAGCAGAGCTGGGACTAAGCCTCAATATTTTCCTTACAAGAACCAGGAAAAGCCACAAACTGTACCCTGCGGGGGACCAATCAGAATTGAGACAAACAAGTACTAGATGCTCCAGAACATTAAGAATAGCTTTTATAGCTTGTATATAGGTTACCAGTTTCCTTACAGCAACGCCAATACTGATCCCTGTTTGACCAGACTTCTGTTACCTCACTCCTGCTCAGTCAGGAGTTCAACCTCTATCTGAATCCAAAATTTTCCTGCCCCCCGTCCTTTACTCCTTAAAAGCCCTGCCATAGCTGAGCTCAATGTGCTCCCTGATCCAACTGCTGTGTTGAAATGGACAGACAGTACAAGCTTGCTTTTGCATATGAACTCAAACTCCTGGTGGTTTCTGGGGAGATCATGAGGTGGGCATAACAGGAACTTCAGTACATATATATGCTGTAGGCAGAGGGTTTCTTTATGGCCAGTTTCAGGAGCATGGGGTGGAACTTTCAGGTTTTGTGATTTGTTTGGGGTGGGGTGGGAGGCTCAGATTTCTATGACCACCCTGGGAAAGAAATTCTCTCATTATTTTGTTGCCCTTTGCTTGTTTTGCACGAGAAACGGAACAGGAGGCAGGAGCATAGGCGGTCAGCTTCAGAGGCCTGGCATGGGGCTGTCATTTTTCCGTGTCTCCAACATCAAGGTGTTAGTAATGCCAAGGCAACTAACCTGCTGCAGTCAGGGCTGGGGATAAGGGCTCTTGTCACAAAAGTCCAAGAACAGCCGCAAAAGGAAGGTAGTGGCAGCTGTATGACGGCAGGTAGGAGAGATTGAATCTGGGGGTCTTTTGTGTTTAAGCAATGGGGGCTGCTGACGTGGCCAAGTTGGTAGAGTGCTCGTAGCTCCTATGGTAGAGAGCTTGTGACTCAGAAGAGTACTTGTGGCTGGGTTGGTAGTGAGCCTGTGGTTCAGTTTACAGAACACTTGCTTGCTTAGCAGGCATTAGGCCTTGGGTTCTGTCCTTAGCATTGTACCAAATGGACATGGGGGTCCTCGTCTGTGAGCTCAGCGCTTTGAATATGGAAACCTAAGAACAAGAAGTTTGTGGTAATTCTCCGCTATATAATAAGCTCAAGGCCAGTCGAGGCTACAGGAGACCCTGCCTATAAACAAGCAAACAACAAACAAATAAACTGGGTGTGGGAGAAGGCAGATCTCTGAAGGTTCAAGACCAGCTGGTTTACTTAAGTGAGTTTCAGGTCAGCCAGGGTTACATAAGGGGGACTCTGAAGAAAATGAAAAGATGAAGTTGGAGAGATGGCTCCGCAGCTAGCAGCGCTTGCTCCACGTCCAGAGGACTGAGGTTTGGCTCCCAACACCCACAGCAGGAAGCTCACAATCAACTGTAACTCCAGCTCCCCCACCCCACAGTGGGAATAGGTATGGCCCATGCTAGGCAAGACCTTGAACTTCTGATCCTTCCACAACTGTGTCTTGAGTGCTTGGCTTGTAGGCGTGTGCCCTCACATCCCACCACTAAAAGTTTCCTGACCTTTGTTTGAAATCATACTGTCCAGTTCCCCGATGAGCACAGTGTTTGTGGCTCTCCTGAGGGCATCTGGGAAATACTGCCAAGTGCCGAGTACACTCAACTCTCAGGAGCACACACTGTTAGGGTCAGGTTGGCATAGGGCGGAGAATGTTGCCCCAGAATTGTCACAAGGAGAGCTGGACTTTGTGCAGTGGGTGGCAGCTGCTCTTACCTCATCCAGGGCAAGCTAGTGAGCAAAACATGTTTTTTGCCAAACCTTGCCATGAGGTACCTTAGGGAAAGGGAGCAATCTGAAGCCTCCTGGGGAAGATGTCCCCTGCAGCCAGGAGTCACTTTTCCTTCCCTCAGATAGCTCTGTTGCTTCCCTCCAGAGTTCTGCTGCAAATGCCAGACCTTTGGGTAGGAAAACTTTTTGAAGAATCCAGAAAGGGAAGTTTTCACATTTTCTGGGTTTTTTTTTTGTTTTGTTTTTGCTCTAGAGGAACACACTAAAATAGCTGAGACAAAACACCTGAGGGAGGTCCGAGGAGGAAAGCAGAATTTTGGATGAGTGTGGAGAGCTTGGCCCTCCTCCAAATCCATTAAGCTAGCATCCATAGATTGGTCCATCAGTAACATCAGTGCCTCCATGAATCAGTCCCCTCCCAAAGACTTCACACGCTGTAACACACACACAAACACACGTGCACACACCTTCAACACATGACCTTCTGAGGAATATCTCACACCCAAACCACAACACAGACTCAGGAAATCATGGGTGCCTGGGAAGTATGGGGAAAGAGACTATTTTATCCTTTTGCCCTAAGCAACACGTATAATGGAAGTCAGTCAGTATTTAGGCATTTGGCAAATGGGTATCAAAGACAAGGTAGGTCCTCACATAGCAGCACTGGCCCCTGCAGCCTGTGTACTCCTGAAGCCAGCAGCCAAGCCACCAGAGCTGTGCATATCTGTCAGAACCAAGCCTGGCCATTTGGAAGAAGGTTCTGGCACGTAGATGCACAAAGCGTTACCTAGTTATATGTGAGCCTCTGATTGAGAAACAGCAGGTGATGACAACCTGGGACAGGGACTTGGCCTGTGCTCCAGCAGCGTCTGGGAAGGCTTCCTGCAGAAAAGCTCCTTCCTTTCCCATCTGAGACACCCTTGTCACACCACAAAATCCACCCTTTAAGGGTGCGTAATTGCCGGGCTGTGGTGGCGCACGCCTTTGATCCCAGCACCCGGGAGGCAGAGGCAGGGCCTCTCTGTGAGTTCAAGGTCAGCCTGGTCTACACAGGGAGTTCGGGGAAGGCTCCAAAGCTACAAACAAACAAACAAAAAACCAAAAAAAAAAAAACAAAACAAAAAAAAACAAAAAAAACCCCAAAACAAAACAAAAAGAGTGGTGCTGGAGAGATAGCTCAGAGGCAAAGAGCATGGGTTGCTCTAGCAGAGGGCCCAGGTTCAATTCCCAGCACCTACATGGTGACTCAGAACCATCCAGAGGACCCAACGGCCTCTTCTGACCTCTGAGAGTACTGCATGCATATGGCGTTACATACATGCAGGGAAAACACTCATACACATGAAATCAATTAAAATATAAAAAAGGAAGTGCATAATTCAGGGGATGGCCTCCAGGGCCTTATGCATGTTAGGCAATTGCTATTCTCCTACATATATCCCCAGTCCTTTATTTTTGTCATTGTTTTGTGCCGTGGTCACCTCTGTCCTGAAAGGCACTATTTAGTCCAGATGGGTCTCAAACTCACAGAGACCCTCTTGCCTCGGTCTCATTGGTTCTGCCATTCCAGGCATGCAGTACCATGCTTGGCTTTAATTTCCTTATGCTAGGGGGCTGGAGAGATGGCTCAGTGGTTAAGAGCATTGCCTGCTCTTCCAAAGGTCCTGAGTTCAATTCCCGGCAACCACATGGTGGCTCACAACCATCTGTAATGAGATCTGGTGCCCTCTTCTGGCCTGCAGGCATACACACGGACAGAATATTGTATACATAATAAATAAATATTTAAAAAAAAATTTCCTTATGCTGCTCTCATTTTCTGTAAACACGGGCATCGTTGATTATGGAAATTTCTCACGGAAGCAATTAAGCTTTACTGTTCACAGGAAGAAGAAGAGGGCTGTAGAGATTGTGGAAATGGCTCAGCAGTTAAGAGAGCTTAATGCTCTTGCAGAGGACATGAGTTCAGTTCCCAGCATCTACATAGTGGCTCACATCCACCTGTAGCTGCAGTTCTAGTGAGTCTGATACCCTCTTCTGGCCTCTGTGGGTACTGCATGTACATGGTGCAGATGCACACATATAGGCATATATATATATATATATATATATATATATATATATATATATATATATCATATGAATAAACCTTTAAAAGGTATTGGGCTACTGTTGGGAGGTGGATGGAGTGCTTTCTAATCTTCAGTCATGAATATGCAAATTGGTTCCCTCTCTTCACAGAGATGATGAACCATTTATTAAAGTTTCTTTCTCTCTCTTTATATATATAGTAGCTTTTTTTTTTAAAAAAAAACCTTTTGCTAGGAAAGAAAACTACAATTCCTTAGGCATAATAGGCACTTTGTGAATTTATTATTGAATCGAGTTATTATTTGATAGAAGGAATAAGGACAAAGCAATTTAAAAGTATTATAAGTCAGCAAGCCACCAGGGCAAAATTTCAGTCCTCAGAGTATTAAGATTAAACATTTTTTTATTTAGAATGTTTATGAGCTCATGCAGTGAATGCCACAAGGCAGTTTAAAGGACGTTTAGGAGACCGAGAACAACTTATTATCATGACTCTCATTACCCGTGACAAGGCCTCCTTCCCCTTTCTTCCACGTGGATTCCGCAGAGGTCATCCATCTCTCGGGCACTCATTCTCCAGTAGATTTTAGACTCTGCCATTTGCTAACAAGTTCTCACTTCCTACAGCTTTCGGGAGATGGAAGAGTAGTTCCTCATTTCTGCTCTGTGCATGTAGGACGCCAACTCTTAGGCTAAAGCAAGCAGTAGCTGCAGAAATATTCCTTCAAGGGATGGAGAGATGGCTCAGAGGTTAAGAGCACTCACTGACTGCTCTTCCAGAGGTCCTGAGTTCAATTCCCACCAACCACATGGTGGCTCATAGCCATCTGTAATGAGATCTGGTGCCCTCTTCTGGCCAGCAAGTATACAGACAGACAGAACACTGTATACATAATAAATACATAAATCTTTAAAAAAAAAAGTAAGAAATATTCCTTCAAGAAATGAGTGACAGGGCCTGGAGAGAAGGCTCCGTGGTTAAGAGCATTGGTGGCTCCTGCAGAGGACCTGGATTTGGCTCCCAATACCCACATGGCAGCTCGCCATCACCTAGAACTCCAGTTCTGGTGGATCGGATGCCTTCCGACCTCCGAAGGCACCAGTATTTTATGTGGTGCATAGACACACCATGTAGGCAAAACCCTCCTATGCATAAAATGAAAAAAAGAAATCTAAACGAGATGAGCAACAGCAGCTAGAAGATGCGTTTCGGGCACCATCTCGAGTGAAGGGCAGCGAACAAGGAACCGGTGGAATTAGAGAGGGCAGATGGGCTTTGAGGTAGTCCCGTGCTACGGAATGTGCTGAGAGGCTCGCCATGTCTCAGAGTTGTGACTCCATTGGCCTTGATCCCCCACAGTCTGAGGTCTTTTGCAGGCTGGGGAATGGACAGCTGCTGTCACCATCTCCAGCTTCCATCTGTGTTTCAGTCCAGACCGACTCTAAAGCCGTAACCGGCCTCTCCCTCTCTCTGTTTCTTCATTAAGGGACCACCTAGAAGCTGCAGGCCACATGTGCGTTCTGAGAGATGCCTTTGACTTTGAAAGCCCATCTGACGTTGCTGAGCTCATCGCAGCTGAGAACCTGGAAGCAGCGCTAGCCCTTCACCTCTACCGAGGAGGCAGACTTCTGCAAGGTACAGCTCTCATGCTCCCAAGGCCGCACAGGGGGAAATGCTGACAAACCAGATGCCAAGGACAGTGCCCCGTTACCCAACTGAAGGATTACACAAGGTTTCCATTTTTTTCTATTAAGCAATTTTCTAAATTTGGTGGCCTTGCCACTTTAGAACAAATAGGTATTGACGATACCTTTGCTGTTTAAATATGTGTTTAAATATGAGACCAGCCATAGTGGTACATGCCTGTCTTTACAGGACAGGTTCTCTTACAAAGCCGTGATGGCCCTGGGCCAGAGCATCTGTGTCGATGGCAGCTCACTCCGCTGTTGCCAGGAGGCCTCTCCTCCCTACCTGCGTTTCACCATGGGTGGTGTGTTTGAGTTTATTTCCCTGTTGCTATGATAAACCACCCTGACAAGTGTAACTTTAAGAGAGACAGGGTTTGCTGTTTTTGGCTTACAGTCCCAGGTCACAGTCCATCATCAGGGGAAGTCAAGGCAGGAACTTGAAGCAGCCAGTCGCATCATAGGCAAAGTCAAGAGAAATGAAGGCAGGCACACTTCCTACAAATGCCCCCTTTCTATATTTCTATACAGTTTAGAGTTCCCTTCCTAGGGAATGGTAACACCTACAGTGGGCTGGGTCTTCTCACATCAATTCAACCAAGGCCATCTCAACACAGACATGCCCAGAGGCCATGACCTAGACAAACCCTCACTGAGACTCTCTTCCCCTGTCATTCAAGGCTGGGACAAGCTGACAGTTTAAAATGAACTATTGCAGGCAGTTTAAATAGCTTGAGACATAGCAGCGCTTCTTTTCTGAAATGTCTACAGCAGAAGGGCTTTTATTTAAAAAATTTAAATTTTAGTGTGTGTGTGTGTGTGTGTGTGTGATGTGCCAGCACGCAATGGCATTCACATGGAGAACAAAGAATGAGTTTGTGGAGTAGATCCTCTCCTCTAAAATGAATTCCAGAGGTTGAATGTAAGTCATCAGATTTGTGGGCAAGTACTTTTAGCCATTTAAACTCTCGCCAGATCTTCATCTTAGATTTTTTTTTTAAATGTGTATCTTCACATAGGCAGTGAGATATTTGGAGGCTAGCTAGGCTAGATTATGAAGTTCATCTGTGTTTCTCATTCCCTTGGGCCCACGCCCTAGGGTCATTTAGGTTTGTTTGTTGTTTGAAGTAGTCTCACATAGCCCAGGCTGGAACTTATTCTGTAGTAGAGGATGACCTTGACTTTCTCACCTTCCTGGCTTCCCTTTCCAAGTGTTGGGATTCTAGGCAAGCGATACTACGTCTAGTTACGTGGTGCTGGGAAAGGAACACAGGGCCTCATACATGGTGGCAAGCACTCAACTAGCCAAGATGCATTCTCAGCCCCTGAAGTGATTTTAGACAGTATTTTCAATAGTGACAATGACCTGCTCTGTGAGGTTGGGAGTGTCATTTTTACACATGTGGCCTCACTTCAGTTCAGACTCTCCAGTTTGGGATCACCCCACATTTTGGATTAGGCAGGCTCCCCCTGTGTCACATTGTGGGGATCCTCTGCAATCATAGCTTTAACTGTAGACGCTAAGGCGTGCTGCCCCATCTTGGGTCATATCCTTTTGTTGTTGTTGTTTTGAGACAGGGTCTCACTAGGTAGCTTTGACTGCTCTGAAACTCATGTAGACCAGGCTGACCTCACAGAGATCCACCACCACACCAGGATGATTGTACGTTCTTGAAATTGATACAGAATGCCCCTCTGTATGCTGTGAATATGTTTTATTACCATTGGTTGATAAAGAAACTCATTTGACCTATGGCAGGGCAGAGTTTAGATAGACAGGAAATCCAAGCAGAGAGTGAAGGATAAAGAAGGCGGAGTTGGGGAGACACCTGAGCAGCCACCAGAGGAGTGAGATGCCAGAGCATTTCTGGTAAGCCACAGGGCACGTGGTAATACACAGATTATTAGAATTGGATTCATTTATATGTAGAGCTAGCCAGTAAGAAGCCTGAGCTATCCGTCAAAAAGCCTGTAATTTATATTAAGCCTCAGAGTGGCTCTTTGGGAACTGGTGGGCAGGAGAGAAACCTCCAGTTACGTGAAGTCATGGTGAGTATCTATGCTATCAGTTCCTAGGTTAACCTGGAGGCCAAAAAACTATTCAGTATTTTGTTTTTTCCAATGCTGACAAAATTGCCATTGAAGTTCAGATAAGACTGGCAGATGGCAAGAGCCTGCTTCACCTCACTCTGATCCAGTTGCTGTTTTTCTGTTTTGTTTTGCTTTTTTGGTATGTATGTATATATGCATGTACGTATGTATGTATTTTGAGTCAGGGTTTCTCTGTGTTGCTTTGGCTGTCCTAGAACTCACTCTGTGTAATAGGCTGGCCTCGAACTCAAAGATACACCTGCTTATGCCTCCCACAAGTGCTGGGGTTAAGGCTTGTGCCACCGCCACTACCTGGTTTGTTTTTGTTTTTTTAGTTTATATGCTTAATCCCACCACTATTGACCTCTGCTTCAAGTAAACATGAAGATGTCACTGTTCTGTTTGCTTCTGAGTTGGGAGGAACTCTGAACTAACACAGGGATTGTTTTTCTCTCCTGGGGATGAGTGTGAAAGATTTTTTTTTTCTGTGTACAAATCAACCAATTTTTAAAGTGTTTAATGACAGAACTTTATAGTTGTCCTTATCTAAGAGAGAATATAGCTGGGGTGCTGTGCAGGGTGCATTCTGGGACCTCTTTTATATGTTTTAACTAGCGTATAAAACAGACAACTTGCTTTGATGTAGGTTTCAGAGCTTTAATGAAGTCTTAAGAATACACCTTAGCCAGGCGGTGGTGGCACACTCAGGAGGCAGGCAGAGACAGGCAGATCTCTGTGAGTTCAAGGCCGGTCTGGTCTACAGAGTGAGTTCTAGGACAGGCTCCAAAGCTACAGAGAAACCCTGCCTCCAAAAACCAAAAACCATACCAAAACAAAAAAGAACATGGCTTAGGCTGGAACCTAATAAGGAAGCAGGGTCAGGTGGCCGAGAACAAGATTAACCCGTCTGTGATGGCATCCCATGACTCAGTATGGATCCAGGTCAGGTGCCCCACCCCATAGGATTGCTCTTTACTTTGTGTTGTTTTTAAAATCAAAATCATGTACTATAGTTCGGTAGTCTTTGGGTTGTAAATTATACTGCTCTATTTCATAGGGTGTGTGGTGTGTGCCACTGCATGCGCATTGGAGTCAGAGGTCAGCTGCGTGGTGTCTGTTCCCTCCTACCATGCTAGCCCTTACACCGTGAGCCGTCTCACTGGCCCGCAGTTGTCTGCCATTTTTGTTGTTATTTTGGGATTTTTGAGGCAGGGTCTCATGTAGCCCAGGCTGGCCTTGAACTCACAATTTAGGTAAGGTTGACCTTAACCTGCTTTCCTCCTTTTGTCAAATGCTGGGGTTACAAGGCACCAACACACTCAGGCCTTTGAGACAGGCTTTTACATTTTACAGCCCAGGTTAGCCCAGGCTAGCATAGCTAACTCATTATGTAGCCCATGCTGGGGTTGAAGTCCTGACAATTCTGCCTTGGCTCACAAGTTTGAGCCAGTCCCTCTCCAGCTTTAGTTTTCTGTTCTTACCTGAAATAAGATAAAAAAAAAAATCCTCCATCTTTGCCAGGTCTCTCACAGCAATCAGTTATGAGTGATGGCATTTTTTTTTTTTAAAAAAATGATGGGTTTTTTTTAATAAAAAATTTTCACATGTACGGATGTTTTGCCTGCGTGTATGCAATGACATTGCACCACATGTATTCCAGGTGCCCACAGAATCTACGAGGAAGTATTAGGTGGGGACCTGGAGTTCCAGACAGCTGTGAGCTGTCATGTGGGTCCTCCATCAAAACTGGGTCCTTTGCCGGAGCAGCAGCGCTGTTTACTGCTGAACCATTTCCAGCCCAATTATTATTTTTATGTGGGGGGGTTTTCATCCGCATGTCTGTGCACCATGAGGATGCTGTGCCTGTGGGTGCCAGAAGAGGGCGTTGGAGCTACAGACTGCTGAGTTGCAAACAGGTGCTGGGAAATCTGGGTCCTCTGGAAGAATGACTGATGCCCTTAACCACTGGCCCATCTCTCCAGCCCTGAATGATGATGTCTTATTTCCATGTTTTGTCTCAGGCACTGTATATGATGAACTGTGTCTGTTTTTGAGACAGTGTCTCAGCATGTAGCCTTCCTGGACCTCAGGGTCTATGCAGACCAATCTGACCTGGGACTCACAGAGAGTGCTGGGATTACAGGCATATGCTACCACACCCCATATGTGATGAACTGAATTCAAAGATACTTTTAGACTGGACATGATGGGGCAATCTGGAAGCAGAGGCGGGCAGATCTCTGAGCTCTAGGCCGGCCAAATATACGTGGCAAGTTCAATTCACAATGTTGTGTTTGCTTCCAAGGGCCAGGGATACCACTCAGATACCCTTCAGAGCCCCACTGTTTCAATGCCTGGCTTTAGAAGCTGGTGACCATGAGGGAGGGACCATGCCTGGTGACCGCCAGGTACCAGTGTCTACATAGTGCTGCCCATTCCTCGAGACTTCCAGAGCTGCTGGCTGAGGATGCTAAGCAGGACCCTCTCCTGTCACCAGCTTCATTTGAGCTCTTTGATTTCTTCTCAGGATTGGTGAGCTTGGCTTTGATGGATGGTGGGGAATGATATTTTTTTCATGGTTAAAATGGAAAGCAAATTAATTTAAAAACTAGTCCTGACAACCACGGGTGAGACTTGGCATGCTTAATCTCAGTGTGGGTTTTTCTTTGTACATATATTTATTTATGTGTGTGTGTGTGTGTGTGTGTGTGTGTGTGTGTAGTGTTGGTGGGCATGGTCATGGTGATGGTGGTAGCGCTGGGGAGGGATCTTTGTGGAAGTCAGAGGACAACTTAAAAGGAGTAGATTCTCTCCTTTTACCACGTGTGTTCCAGAGATGGGTCTCAGAGTGTCAGGTGTGGTGCTTTTTGCCTTTGCAGAACTATTTCGCTGGCTCCTCAGTACAGCTTGCTTTCTTTATTTCTTTATTTCTTTCTTCCTTCCTTCCTCCCTCCCTCCCTCCCTCCCTCCCTCCCTCCCTCCCTCCTTCCCTTCCTTCCTTTCTTTCTTTTTTTTGACACAGGATTTTTCTCTGTGTAGCCCTAGCTGTCTTGGAACTAGCTCTTGCTAGCCTCACACTCACAGAGACCCACCTGCCTCTGCCTCCCAAGTGCTGAGATTAAAGGTGCACGCCACCACCGCCTGGCCAGTGCAGGTTTCTAATGGTGATATCTGCTATTCCTCTAGAGAGTTGAACGGAATGAAACAGACATCAAAACACACCACGCTTAGTTACTGGGGCTGAAACTCAGCTGGCAGAGTGTTTGTCAAGCATGCACAAAGCCTCTGTTTTAACCTCTAGAGGGACATAAATTGGGTGTGGCAGTGCTTGTGGGAAATCTCAGCCCTTTGGCTCCAGCCTAGGTAGAAGCTTGAGGATTAGGTTCAAGGTCATCTTCAGGGAAATAAATTCAAGGCCAACCTGCCTAAAAAAGAAAACGATTCCAGACCAGTGAAATGATTCACTAGAGCACACGTAAAGATAGAAAAGAGAGTACTGACTCCACGAAGATGCCCCCACACATATCACACACACACACACATACACACACACATACACACACACACACACACACACACACACACACACATCTGGGAATGGCAGTGCACACCTGGAGTTCTAGCCCTGGGTTTGCTGAGGTGGTAAAATTGAGAGTTCCAGGCCAGCAGCCTTGGCTCTAGAGCTCTCTTTCAAAACAGATGACAGAAAAGCCACGCAGCCCTGGATTACGGGAACTTCCACTTTTGCTTCATGGCTGCAGGCCAGTTGTCAAGGGGCACCTCCTGATGTCCCATGTGCTCTGCTTGTCTTCATTTTGCAGGTCACGGCATTCCTTTTGGGGTCATCTTTGGTGGAACTGATTTAAATGAAGATGCCAATCATAAAGAAAAAAATGAAGTCATGGGGAAGGTTCTGGAAGAAGCCAGGTAAGGCCATCCATCTGTGCTCTGCTTTGGGAGGGCTTGCATCCTAGCAGGGAAAACAAATTCTCACCACCAATAATAAGGCCCTTGCCAGGCATGGTGGCTCATGCCTTTAGTTCCAGAACTTGGGAGACAGAGGCAGGTGGCTAGCTGAGAGTTAAGGCTAACCTGGTTTACATAGCAAGTTCCCAGACAGTCAAGGACACATAGAGAGAGACCCTGTCTCAAAACAAGCCCACAAAACAAAACCATTCTTCAGTATAGTTTTATTTTGCTACAAATTCTCCTTGTAACCAAGTGAGTCATTATATCTGGCCTAATGCTAATATCACGTGAGCATTTTAGAAGGTTCTGTGTGGTAGGAAGACAGCTTGTGTGTGCTTGTGTGTGTATACTGAAATAGGGTCTTTTGTAGCCTAGGCTAACTTTGGCCACTGAGGATGACCTTGAACTCTGCTCTTGCCTTCACCTCCCAAGTTCTGGGACTAAATGAATGCACCACAGTGCAGGGCTGAGCAGATGATGCTAAGTGGGCCTATGCTAGGTTTCCCAGCCCAAGGCTCATCCTCGTCACTATTCTTAGGCTATTCACTATTCAGTATGTATGGCTCCTGTATGTGTCGCCTTGTGAGTTCTGTAAACCATTATGGAGAACAGTCACCAGAGGAATTCTGTACCCTGGCTTAGTCCTCCATTTACACATTACTCCCAGCCATCTGGGAGCAGAGAGCCCCCAAGAGCATGGCTCTATCGCCTGGAGGTGGTGCTTCTCCAAGACATCCATTAGTTCTGTGGGAATAGTGTGGGAACCCCTGTCCCAGACACTAGCTGTGGCCAGCACCTTCTGACCTGCATGGGCAATGTGTGAACATGGTATACATACATATACACAGGAAAAACACTCATACACAGAAAATCAAAATAAATAACTCTTAAAACACAAAAACACACAGAAAAAAAAATGTCTCAAAAAATACTCAAAAACCCAAAACAAACAAAAGCCCCTAAACAAATACAACAACACCAACAATAATACAAAAGCATTAGCTCCCTTTACAGAGGACTTGAGTTCCCTTCCCTGTACTCACATCAGGTGGCTCCTGATATAGCTGGAGTATATTTAACTCCAGCTCCAGGGTGTAAGCACCCTCTTCTGGCCTCCATAGGTACTGCACCCACACTGTGCAAACACACACACACACACACACACACACACACACACACACACAAACACACACACACACACGCAGTGCACTCATACACATACACAAATAAATCTTAAGAAAAGTGACCCACTAGTGAATATTCCTTACTTCTTGCACATTTTAAAAATATATTATCTTTCTATTTGCATGGTTCATGCTGCACAACCCTAAAGAAGAAAAGTAATCCCATTTACTAGAAACATTATTGAACAAATCTATCTTGCAGTATTATCTTTAGGGTTATTTATCTCTTTGTTATTAAAACAAATATTGATTTTTTTATTTGGGGGTAATTGATTATGGCCAGTGGGCAAGAGAGACGCATGAATCATGGATTTCTTGTTTGACATCACATAGCTCATGTTTCTGTAAAAGAGGTATTGAGCCTGCCTGGCTTCTTAATGAACATTTCATTTTTAATTAAACACTTTTTAAGTTGGTGTATTTTTTTCTATGGGGTTGTGTGAATTTTTTTTCAGTATTTTAAACCTTTATTCCATGCAGTATAGTATTCTATTTTAATTTTGGATTAGGTTATCAGCTTCTAAGAATTATAGTAAGAATTTGGTAATTATATTATAAATATCAAAATTCAATGAAGTGTATCTGAAAATTAGGATCATTTTGTTTCTGAGTACACTTGAAAAAGAATACTTGCCACTTGTTATTGTTCACTTAAAAATTCTTTTCCTTTATTTTTATTTTTTGTGTATGAGTATTTTTCTGCATATGTGTCTGTGGACTCTGTGTGCAGTGTTCTTAAAGGGCAGAAGAGGTCGTCAGGTCTGGGACTGGAGTTACAGATGGTTGTAAACCACCACGTGGGTGCTAGGGATTGAACTCAGGTCTTCTGGAAGAGCAGCCAGTGCTCGTAGCCACTGAGCCATCTCTCCAGCCAGCTTCAGTCTTCTCTCTTCTCAGATATATCCTGGGTAGGAGGGTAGGAACCCTTTCAACTTATGGAACCCCTTCTCTGCCATTGCGTTAAACTCTTAGATGTGTTTGAGTCTGCTCCTGGCCTCAAGTTCACTTTTGAGCTCCTGTTCTTTTTCTCGTTGCCAATATAGTTTTTTTGTTATTTGTTTGTTTATTAATTTTTATTGAGTTCTACATTTTTCTCTGCTCCCCTCCCTGCCTCTCTCTTCCCCTTCAACCCTCTCCCAAGGTCCCAATTTACTCAGGAGATATTGTCTTTTTCTACTTCCCATGTAGATTAGATCTATGTGAGTCTCTTTTAGGGTCCTCATTGTTGTCTAGGTTCTCTGGGATTGTGATTTTGGGCTGGTTTTCTTTGCTTTATGTTTAAAAACCACTTATGAGAAAAGTAAACAGTTCTCTGACCCAAACTCTAGAGCCTGACCTTTGATGAGGGCTTAGGACAAAGGAAAAAGACTCCAAGAGCATCAAAAGCTCCACGATCCTAGTTCTTTTTTTTTTTTTTTTTTTTTTTGGTTTTTCGAGACAGGGTTTCTACAATCCTAGTTCTTATTCTATTGGTTGCCTGAAGATCAACTCCTATTGAAATACAAGTATCTATGTCCATCTATAGGAGACTAGTTAAATATACTGTATCTATCCCATGGGCTACTCTGTAGCAGGTAAACAAAAAAGTTGGTCTACATTTAACAAAGAAGAAATAATTCATATATAATGAAACCTTTAAAAAATCCATATACATATGTGTACCCACTGTGTGTATAAAAAGACAGATGATGTATTACTACTCAAGAGTGGTTGTCTCTGGGCAATGACAAAGATTAACTTTTCTCCAAACAAATAAAACACAGTAGTGTTCTCATACTTTTCTCTCCAGCCCCAAGATAGTGACATGATTTGGCAAGTCATTACAGATCAATAAGGGATATAAAAATTTATGTGAGCTCTCCACTTTGAAGTAGCTTCATTTAAATATAGTCTCAATTTTCCAGCTGTCAAATGGGCTTTCATTTTGTAGAACATACCTCCAGTTCTAAAAGTGATTTTGGTCTGTGTGTGTTTGGGAAAAAAATGTGTAATACTCTAACTGTTAAAAGGTTTGAACCCTGTAGACAAGTAGGGGCGTTACTGCTTAGAAGCATGTCTGATATAAATGTGTGTGGTCTGTATGTCCCTATAGTAAACTGTTGAAAGACGTGGAAAAAAAAACCACTTATGAGTGAGTACATGTGATAATTGTCTTTCTAGGTCTGGATTACCTCACTCAAAATAATGTTTTCTAGCTCCATCCATTTTCCTGCAAAATTTAAGATACCATTTTTTTTTTCTGCTGTGTGATACTCTATTGTGTAAATGTACCACATTTTCCTTATCCATTCTTCACTCAAGGGGTATTTAGGTTGTTTCCAGGTTCTGGCTATGATAAACAAAGCTTCTATGAACATAGTTGAGCACATGTCCTTATGGTACGATTGCACATCCTTTGGATATGTACCCAAAAGTGGTATTACTAGGTCTTGAGGAAAATTGTTTCCTAATTTTCTGAGAAATCACCACACTGACATCCAAAGGGGCTGTACCAGCTTGCATTCCCACCAGCAAGCAGAAGTGTTCCTTTTTCCCCACAACCTCTCCAGCATAAGTTGTCATCAGTGTTTTTGATCTTGGCCATTCTTACAGCGGTAAGGTGGAATCTCAGAGTTGTTTTGATTTGCATTTCTCTGATGACTAAAGATGTTGAACATTTCCTTAAGTGTCTTTCAGCCATTTTAGATTCCTTTGTTGAGAGTTCTCTGTTTATGTCTGTACTCCATTTTTTTATTGGATTATTTGTTCTTTTGACAACCAATTTCTTGAGTTCTTTGTGTATTTTGGAGATCAGACCTCGGTCTGATGTGGGGTTAGTGAAGTTCTTTTCCCATTCTGTAGTTTATCATTTTGTCTTGTTGACTGTGTCCTTTGCTTTACAGAAGCTTTTCAGTTTCAGGGGGTCCCATTTATTAATTGTTTCTCTCAGTGTCTATGCTGTTGGGGTTATATTTAGGAAGTGGTCTGCTGTGCCAACGCATTCAAGTGTACTTCCCACATTTTCTTCTATAAGGTTCAGTGTGGCTGGCTTTATGTTGAGGTCTTTGATCCATTTGTATTTGTTTTGTGCATGGTGATAGATATGGGTCTATTTTCTTTCTTCTATATGTTGATATCCAGTTATGCCAGCACCACTTGTTAAATATGTTTTCTTTTTTTCATTTGATATTTTTTGCTTCTTTTTAAAAAATCAGGTGTTCAAAGGTGTGTGGATTAATATCCGGGTCTTCTATTCAGTTCCATTGGTCCTCTTGTCTGTTTTATGCCAGCCAATATAGTTTTAATCATTGTACTTTGGATATGTGCCAGTGTGTAATGCAAGTCTCAGCTCTGCATTCTTTATCTTGAATGGTTGCTACTCAGTAACATGCATATTTGATTTTGTCTTAGTCAGGGTTACTATTGCTGTGATGTCATGAATCATCATGACCAGAAGCAAGCTGGGGAGAAAGGGTTTATTTGGCTTACCCTTCTACATCACAGTTTATCATCTGGAAGTCAGGACAGGAACTCAAATAGGGCAGGAAGCTAGAAGCGGGAATTGATGCAGAGGCCATGGAGGAGTGCTGCTTACTGGCTTGCTCCTCATGGCTTGCTCAGCCTGCTTTCTTAGAGAACCCAGGGCCACCAGCTTGGGGGTGGCACCACCCATAATGTGCTGGGCCCTCCTGCATCAATCACTAATTAAGAATATGCCCCCTAGGCTTGCTTGATCTCATGGAGGTATTCTCTCAACTGAGGTTGAAGTTCCCTCCTCTCTGGTGACTAGCTTGTGTCAAATTGCCATAAAACTCTCCAGGACAGTTACTTTCTTCACTGCTGTGACAAAATCCTTGACAGAAACTATTTAAGGAAGGACCTAGGTGTGTTGATGAGCACCTTTTATCCCAGCATGTTAAAGGCAGGAACGGAAGGATGATCTCTAAGTTCAAGGCCAGCCCAAGCCTGTGTGGAAAAACTCTGTCTCTAAAAGGGGGGGGGGCTATTTTGGGTCACAGTTTAAAGATACTGTCCAGTCCATCCTGGCAAGGAAGCCATTGAGGCAGGAATGTGAGGCAGCTGGCCATGTAGTGTCCCCAAGTCAGGAAGAAAAGAACAATAGATGTTGATACTCAGTTCATGCTGTCCCTTTTATTCAGCCCAGGGCCCCAGCCCTTGGCATGGTGCTGCCCACAGTCAGATTGGGTCTTCCCAACTCAGTTTTCCTAGTCTAGATACGCTTTCATAGATAGGTCCAGAGATCTGTTTCTTAGATGATTCCATATCCTGTCTTCATAGATTGTGGTTGACGGAGTGACCTTGACTTAGATCCCAACTCGAAAATCTTTCTGTGTAACGGTCATAGACTTATGTGTATATGTGCTACTGTCTGAAAAAAAAAATTCTTGTCTGATGCTATTATAATTCAGTTGTGGGTTTTTCTCACCTGGTTTGGTAAAAAAGGAATATCTTTATGTAATTCTTATGCAAGAGATGTCCCATACAACTCAGTTAAAATGTATCTGTTGCACTCTTTTCACGGCAAAGGCAATCTTTTAAAATACATTTATTTAAGCCAGGCGGTGGTGGTGCACACCTTTAATCCCAGCACTTGGGAGGCAGAGGCAAGCGGATCTCTGTGAGTTCGAGACCAGCCTGGTCTACAAGAGCTAGTTCCAGTACAGGCTCCAAAACCACAGAGAAACCCTGTCTCGAAAAAACCAAAAAAAAAAAAAAAAAAAAAAACCAAAAAAAAAAACACAACAAAACATTTATTTAGGGCTGGAGAGATGGCTCAATGGTTAAGAATGGTGGCTGCTCTTTCAGAGGACCCAGGTTCGATTCCCAGCACCTACATGGAGATTCACAACTGCCCATAACTCCAGTTCCAGGAGATCTGCTACCATCTCCATGTGGTACACAGATATTCATGCAGGAAAACATCCACACATATAAAATAAACAATAGTTTAAAAAATACATTTATTTAGTGTGTGTGTGCATGCATGCGCATGTGTGAGCATGCTACAGCTCTCATGGGGGTCAGGGAACAACATGTGGGAGTTGGTTCTTTCTTTCCACCATGTGGAATCCCAGGGGATCAAACTCCAGTGATAAGACTTGACAGCCTCTTCCTGCTGAGCAATCTTTAGTGGCCTGGTAAAAAGCCTTAAATAGAGGTCCCCCATTTTCTTAACGCCGGAGCCCCTTAGGTGTAGGGGCATTTCATTTGGATTTTAGTAAATAAAGCTTGCCTGAAGATCAGAAAAGTAAAACAGCCACACTGGCCAGCCTTTGATGACATACACCTTTAATCCCAGTGGCCACACGAGTTTGCCATAGAAACCAGGCGGTAGTGGTGCACGCTCTTAATCCCAGAGCTAGAGAGGAATATAAGACAGGAGGAGACAGCTCTCACACACAGTCTCATTCTGAGGTTTCCGGGAGGCAGGATCACCATTTTTGGACCGAGGCTGAGGTTTAGAGCCAGTGGCTTGTTTCTTTTCTTTTCTGGTCTTCAGGCTAAACCCCAATATCTGTCTCTAAGATTTTATTAATTGTGCTTCACTTAGGACTTACTGACTTTTTTCTTCTATTGTTTTTTAAAATTTATTTGTATATATAAACCTGAATGTGTGTGTGTGTGTGTGTGTGTGTGTGTGTGTGTGTGTGTTACATGGCTTTAAGATGTAAGTATTCCCATTATCATACAGGCATCTTGGGCAGATATGGGCAGTATAGCACACACAGAATTCCCTGGTCACACACCCATGTCATGTGCCCCTTGTCCTGGTGTGCTGATCATAGCATATTAACTACGCCACCTACTGAATTTGGTTTTCTGGCTTTTGATGTTTAAAAAAAAACTGTAGTGTTTTTTTAACATTAAAAAAAAATGTTAGTGTGCATGCTGTGTGCATGCAGGTGTCAGAGAGGGTGTCAGGTACCCAGGAGCTAGTTAGTACACAGGTGTTTGTGAGCCGCCCCACGTGGTTGCTGGAAACTGAATCCAGGTCCTCTGGAAGAGCAGTAAATATTCTTAACTACTCAGTCATCGCCCCAGCTCTGGCCCTTGATTTTTAATCTCTGCTTTTTCTAGCATTATTAGAAAGGAAGAAGAGAAATAAAAGGTTTCGAGCATCGTTGAGTTTATCTCCCTCCCACAACTTTTTCTGGTGTGGGTGGAGACGGGGCCTAATGGACGGTGACCGGGAGTAATGACAATGGATGGAACTGTGCCCTGTCCGTCTCTCATGAGTTGTTGGGAAGTGCTGCCTCAGAGTTGTGTTAATTGAATTCCAGCCTAATTGACTGTTATCTCTATCCATTGACTAGGTTTGCCGTGGCTTTCACAGAGGCAATGAAGGACACAGCGCAGATGCAGTGGGTACGTGTTCTTCTGGATTCTCTCTGGTAGGGCGTGGGGACTGTCTAGACCGTGGTGGGATGGCACAGTTGTGTGGATACCCTTAAAAAGTTTAGTGATGTTTCAAAGTGTTTTCTTTAATTAATTTTTTGAGAGTTTCGTACAATGTAGGAATTTTTTTAAATTAAAGTTTGTATATATGTATATATACACAATGTATAGATATACATTTTTTTTCCTGCATTCTACATACTTGTCTGGTGCCTGGGCCTCCTGGGGCTGGAATTACAGAAAGCTGTAAGCCATTGTATCAGTACTGGGAATCGAACCCAGGTCCTCTGCAGGAACTGTCTGTGTTCTTAGCCAGTGAACCATCTCTCCAGCCCCATACAGGGTTATTGAGCATGTTCACCTCCCCCAACTCCTCCTCCCAGATCTGTCTTCCTTCCATACCCACACAACTTTGTGTTCTCTTTTGTTTTGTAAAACCCTTGAGTCCAGTTGATTCTACATATACTCTTTCATATGGGACATACCCTGAAGTGTTGTCAACCACCTAGGGGCCACATGCATAAAGAAAGCTGTCTCTTCCTTTCCGAGGAGCCACCAGTTGCCAAAAGCTCCTCAGCTAAGGATGAGACTTTGTGCCTTCTTCCCCCTCCATTCTGAGATTATTTTTAAACTTATTTATCTTTATTTTACGTGCATTGAATTTTGCTTGCATGCATGTTTATGCGAGGTTATCAGATCCCCTAGAACTGGAGTTACAGACAGTTGTGAGCTGCCATGTGGGTGCTGGGAATTAAACCCGGGCCCTCTGGAAGAGCAGCCAGTGCTCTTAACCACTGAGCCATCTCTCCAGCTCCCATGCTGAGACCTTGTCTGCCTTTAGCTTGCATGGGTCTTATGCACACTGTCTCAGCTGCTGTGAGCTAACATAGGCAACTGCCCTGTTGTGTAAGAAAACATTGTTTTCTCGCAGTCACCCACTGCCTCTGGCTCTTACAGCCTTCCCACCCCCTTTTCTGCAGTGATGCCTGAGCCTTGGGAAGAGGGAATGGGATCTAGCTGTGCCATTCAGGGTTGAGTATTCCACAGTCTCTCATTCTCTGCACCATGACCAGTTGTGGGGCTCCGTGTTAATCACCATCTACAGCAAAAAAGATGTTTCTTTCATGAGAACTGAGAGATGCCTAGTGTATGGGTATAACAATGCTCCACTATGTATATTAGGCTGGTCTGGAATTTACAGAGAGCGCCTGCCTCTGCCTCCCAAGTGCTGGGATTAAAAGCATGTATAGCTGGGTGGTGATGGCGCACGCCTTTAATCCCAGCTCTCGGGAGGCAGAGGCAGGCAGATCTCTGTGAGTTCGAGGCCAGCCTGGTCTACAAGAGCTAGTTCCGGGACCGGCACCAAAGCTACAGAGAAACCCTGTCTCAAAAAACCCAAAATAAATAAATAAATAAATAAATGCATGTACAACCACACCTGCCTCAGATCTGTATAAGCTACAGAATATATGTATTTACATATGCTACCAAGTATATATAAACACTACCCTGGGGCAGCCAGATCTAAGCTTGGACAGTCCTTTGCCAAGACTAGTAGGCATTTGAACAAACAAACAAACAAGCATTGAGGGGCTAGAGAGATAGCTCAGTGGTTAAGAGCACTTACTACACCTCCCAAAAACCCAGATTTTGTTCCCAGTACCCATATGGCAGCTCACAACTATCTTTAACTCCAGTTCCAGATGATCTAAAGCCCTCTTTTGACAGGCTTCAAGCATGCATGTACTACAAATACACACACACAGGCAAAACACTCAGGCACATAAAATAAAATAAAAAGTGTAAAGCAAATCTTTTTAAATTAAAAAAAATGAGGACTGCAAAGATGGCTCAGCAATTAAGAGCATGTATTGCTCTCACAGAGGACCTGAGGTCAGGTCCAACACCAAGTAGCTCACAGCTGCCCGTATGTCCAGTTCTAGGAGATCTGATGCCCTCTTCTGGCCTCCATGGGCACCTACACCCATGTGCACATACACTTTCATATGTACATATAATTAAAAATAAATCCTAAAAATTAAAAAAAAAATAAGGAAGGAAAACATTTGTGGTAGCTTAGATGGCTTTGTCCCGGATGAGGATGTAGGAGGTCCTGAGATAAGCCTAATAAAAGATGATATTAACTTGTTTTCATAGCTTTGAGGCTGGGATAGTTATTAAATTTGAAAGTGAAGTTGTCTTTAATACACATTTTGTACAGGATTGGTGGGTGGGTTTTCTAATAAAGTTCAGCTCAGTACCTTTATTTAATTTGAATTTTTTTCAAATACAAATATGTATAACTAATATAAAGGTTTCTTGCTCAGCTGTGTTTATGGAATTCTTTTCGATTTTGGAGGAGAGATTTTGATTCGTGTACCATGAACGGTGATAATGTGTTTTGAGCAGCGCAGTCTTAATCTTCCCGGAAGAGAAACCAGCTTTGGTTTTTAATTTTATGTTCTCTGTTTTGGAAGCGGGCTTGACTCAGGCTGTAGCCTTGTTAATCTTGCCTAATTATTACCAAAGTGTGATCAAATATCAGTAATCCTGGATTAGAAAGATTACAGGACCTCCTCTAGTGCTTTGTGGTTTTTGTCCTTCTCTTCTTCCTTCTCCTCTTTCTTTTTTTTGCCTCCCTTTTCTTTCCTGAAGTATGGGCTCACCATGTAGCCCTGGGTAGCCTGGAACTTACTATGTAAAACACACTGGCCTTGAACTCGGAGATGGGCCTCTCTCTGCCTCCTGGGATTAGAAGTTTTGAAGCCACTACCATACCACCATGCCTGGCACTTTGGGGCTTCAAAAGAGAGACTATGGAGGCTGCAGAGATGGCTCAGTGGTTAAGAGCACTAGCTGCTCTTGCAGAAGACACAGGTTCAATTCCCATGTGGCAGCTTACAACCGTCTACCTCCTGTCCCAGGAGATCTGATGCCCTCTTCTGGCCTCTTGGAGCACTGCAGGCACATGGTTTTTCTCCCCCACCCCCCTCCTTATACTTTTAAGAAGGAGATAGTATGTATGTGCACAGAAATAATGTATTTAAATGTGGTTTTAAGCAAAGAAGCCAGTTCAAAGCTTAGGCATGCATTCTCTCCGCCTTTATTTCTAGAAAGGTAATTAAGTTGGGTGTAGTGACATGCTGATCCCAGCACAATCTTGCTGCGATTCTCATGAGAAATACACTTCCTAATACAAGCGCAAAAAGTCAAGATGACCCTTTCAGTTCCCCTTTCTACCCAAAATTAATTAAGCTGGCAACTGAACTCTGTGACGGGAAGAAATGGCCGTGCCTAGAGACTTGTGAGTGTGTCTGTTCACTCACCTCCCAGGGCTATTTCTCTGGGATCTAATGAACGCCTGAGCTGCTTTGTGTGATAGTTTAAGAGGAATGGGGGAGAGTATTAAAATTCCACTTTAATAAATGGGAGAACTTAATACTTGATTTGACTAATTATTTGATAGGAAAAGCCAGCGTCCTTTTAGGTACACGCTCTGAAATAAGTGAGTCTCCGTAAGAGACCCATTTCATAGACTAAAAGGGAAAAGAGGGGGGGAGGGGATGAGGAGGGGGAGAGGGGATGAGGGGGGGAGGGGATGAGGAGGGTGGGGCTGGGCTCCTCTGTAGAGCACCTGCCTAGAATCCACCAATGAGGAGCTGCCACTTAGCTTGGTGTTGCCATAACACTGGGTGAGGGGGCGGAGGCAGGGCTCAGTGGTACAGCACTTGTCTCTGAGGGTGAGCACCACAAGATGAGGGAAAAGACAAAGGAAAAGAAAGACCAGACCACAGCTATAAGAAGACCTCCCGTTCTTTGGCTAATATAATAAAAAAGTCAAATCTTCATAACGTTCAACTTTTCGCAAGTGGAAACTACATTAAAAGTTCTTGTAGTAGATGCAGAATCTAAGGCTCAACGTTCGTTTTGAAATCACAGAAATGACTCGTGACTGTAGCTTTCTTAAGAGACTGGATCTAATCGTTACGGATTGCTAAGAGGAAATCGCCACCCATACACACAGTGTCCACACGCTGTATCAGTGCAGGTCACACAGAGATGGGCACTTCTCCGGGAGGTTATTTACCCTTCTCGTACGCCTTTTCATATAAAATCTTTTGCCAAGCAGAAAATACACTGCGCAATACACTGCAGCTACAGGAGATAACCCTGTAAAATAAGGCAGGGTCTCACCATGAAAACACTCTGTGGATGAGACTCGGAAGGCGTTTATAACCGGGCTTGGATGCAGTTCAGTAGGGAGCATGCTCCTTAGCACACGCCCAGCCCGAGTTCCATCCCCGGCCCCACAAAACCTTAGTGGCGTGCCTCAGCGATGCAAATACTCAGAAGTGGAGAATCAGAATCCAAAGTCGCCCTCAGCTACTGGCTTGGCTCCAGGAGGTCCCATCTTACGCAAACAAACCAAAAGCCTGAGATGGAAATATGCGCCTGCATATGGATTCCAATATGGAGAGGCCCCGAGCCAGAAGATGAGCCCTCTAGTGGCTTTGTGCCCTTTCACCAGGGAACGGCACAAAAAATAAGAAGTTGGCATCTTGTCACAAAGGGGAAAGAAGAGAAGAAAAAAGGGGAAAGATTTGAGAGAAGAAGGGAGAGGGAGAGAAGGAGGGAGGGAGCAGAAGAGGGAACCGCTGCTTCTGCCTGAGTCCTGGAGACACCGAGGACTCTGCCAGGTCTTGAGGCCAACCTGTCCTCACTGGCCACCACTGTGCTCTTTGGGTCTCTCCCCACCACCTCCTCCCTTCCTCCCACCTCCTTCTCCCCCTTTCCTTTCCTCTCCCCATCCTCTTTTCTCTCCTCCCTCCTCCTCCTCTTCTTCCTTGGTCCTGAGGGATGGGAGATACCTTTCTCAAGTTAGGGACAAAGTACCATCGCTGAATGGCACTGCCCCACCCTCCCCTGCTTCAGCAGCCAGTGCCCTCCTGGGCCTCAGGGACTCTCCTGCTGCCAGCCCCCATGAGGCTGCAGTACTGGCATTTCTTTCTTCATTCTTAGTGATGCAAAACCCACTAGGGTGGAAGGACCTCTGTACCCCTCAGAAGCCAATGTGGGTGACTTAGAGATGTTTCCGAAAGGGTATTTAATTATCTTGATTTCTAAAAAGCATAGAATGATTGGATCATCCAATTAACTTTCCCCTCCATTCTTTCCCTTTCAAAAGCCACATGCTACTGGGAAGATCTTTGTCCAGAGTCAAGGTAAGAATTTTAATGTGTGTGTGTGTGTGTAATTTATTAAAATGTATTTATAATACATATACAGTTTATGCATTTATTTTACCTGTTTGTGTTCATATTCATACCACTGCATACACGTGAAAGTTAGAGGACAACTTTTGGGACTTGGTTCTCCTCTCTTTTCTTCCTCTTTTTCCCTCTTTTTCTGTTGGTTTTTCAAAACAGGGTTTCTCATGTAGCCCTGACTGTCCTGGAGCTCACTCTGTAGACCAGGCCTCCCTCCAACTCAGAGATCTATCTGCCTCATCCTGAGTGCTGGGATTAAAGGCGTGTGTCACCACCTGACTTTGTTCTTTCTTTTCACCATGTGGATCCCAAGGATTGAAATCAGGCTCAGTGGCAAGCATCTTCTTCTACTGAGTCATCTCCCTCGGCCCCAATTTGTTCTATATTTTGAAACAATGTTGGGTGATGAGATACTATAGCTTCTGAAACAATGTTGGGTGATGAGATACTATAGCTTCTGAAACATACTTAGAATAATTAGCAGAAAGGGTAACTTTCTGTTGCTTTCTAACATTAGAGTGAAAGATGGGGAAATTATAAAATATAGAGAGGAATGCACATGACCACGTTTTCCACCAGTGGAGACAGACTCTACTGTCCAAGTGTATTTTATTTCTTGTTTGCTTTTTCTTTTTTCCTTCTTTCCTTCCTTCTTTCCTTCCTTCCATCTTTCTTTCTTTCTTTCTTTCTTTCTTCCTTTCTCTTGTTTGCTTCTCAAGATAGTTTTTCTCATAGTTTTTCTCTGTGTAGTCTTGGCTATCTTGAAACTGGCTCTGTAGACCAGGCTGGCTTCAAATTCACCGAGATACCCCTGCCTCTGTTTCCTGAGGGCTGAGATTAAAGACTTCTTTTAAGAGACTCTCTGGCCCAGGTTGACCTTGACCTCCTGGTCATCCTGCCTCTATCTTTAGCTGTAATTACAGGATCTTGTATAACACCTAAGTGAGACAAAGAATTGCCTTGTCCTGGGGATGTGGAGGATTCTTCTGGGATGTGGAGGATTCTTCTGCACCAAGCCATCCTCCCTCTCTCCCAGTACCCCCGACAATGGCACACGACTTTCTTAGCCAGTTACAGTGACCCTTAAAAAGCACTATCCTAGAGGGTAGAGGATGGAGAGAGGGTTCCAAAGACTGATTTGGGACTGATTTTTGAGTCAGGTGGACACAGGTGTAGTGGCTGAGGCAGGGAACACTGACGTGTGTTGGCTCCACAGGCCCCTCCTGGCTTCATCATGTCACCCAGGATCTGGTGGGCCTCTGAGACCATAGCACTTGGTGAACTCAGAAAGGAGGTCAAAGCTGAGTGAGTGGCCAGCATGGATTACAGGAGAGCTTGGAAATGATGCAATCCTCCTGCCTCCCAGCCTCCCAGGTTAGAGGCATGAGCCATCGCTCTTGGCTGAAACGTTCGTTTTAACTTAAGTCCATCTGAGGAAATGACAGAGTATATGTCTACGTTGATTCTTGAATTCAGGAGTTATAAATGAAGGTGAACTTGTCCATATTGGGTTTCATGGTCTAAGCTGATGAGGACAACTAACCAGGTCTCTTCCTCAAGAGGGCACAAGATCTCCTTACAGATGGTTGTGAGCCACCATGTGGTTGCTGGGAATTGAACTCAGGACCCTTGGAAGAGAAGGCAGTGCTCTAAACCACTGAGCCATCTCTCCAACCACCATATACGGGCTGCCCATGCATGCTTCAGAAAAAAAAAAATGAAGGTGAACCTTTACCCAGTTTTTTGTTTGTTTGTTTGTAGTAAAAAGTCACTAGTTAGTTCCTGGCTGTTCAGCCCCAAAATAATCACACAGACACCATATTATTTGCAATACTGTTTGGCCAATAGTTTAAGCCTATTTTTGGCTAGCTCATATCTTAAATTAACGCATCTCCATTAATCTGTGTATTGCCACGAGGCTGTGGCTTACCGGGTTCTGGTGTCTGTCTCTGGCAGGGCTACATGTCTTCTCTCTGATTCTGCCTTCTTTCTTCCAGCATTCTGTTTAGTTTTCCCCATCTAGCTCTGCTCTACCCTATCACAGGCCCCAGGCAGCTTCTTTATTAATCAGTGGTATTCACAGCATACAGAGGGGAATCCCACATCACTTTTTAGTTTTGGCTTTTGGGTTTTCAAGACAGGGTTTCCCTATATAACAGCCCTAGCTGTCCTGGAACTTGCTTTGTAGGCCAGGCTGACTTGAACTCACAGAGATCCGCCTGCCTTTGCTTTCTGAGTGCTAGGATTAAAGGCACGCACTACCACCGCCCCACTAAGTGCTAATGTTTTAGAAAACTTTCCCAAGTCTCTTTAAAGAGTTCAAGGTCTGTACCACCCAGAGGGAGGTGTTGGTTCAGCAGGATGGTGCAGCCCTGGCATCCACAGGTGCACCCAATTTCTCTGCCGAGGGGCTCATGAAACTCCATTGTAGTGCTCCAGAGGTTGAATGGATTTATAAGAACCAGAACTTCACTTCTTTTTCTTTTATATTCCTTCCACCAGGAATTGCAACGATACCAAATGTCAACTTTAACTGGAACACCTTCCTCCAACAATCAGGTAAGGCATGGCTCCCTTTCTGGGACTTTGCCAGAAGCATCCCTGCCGTCTGCCCTTAGGGCCCTGTTCGAACTATCTTGCTCGACCCCCTGCTTTTCTTGTTCTATAATGCTTAGATCTTCAGTAACGGGGGTGGTGTGACCTCCTTTCTTTATGCTTTCACTGGATGTTTTCTTAGATTCCTAACAGCTGGTTTCTGTGTGGGATGGTACACTTAATCGGAGCTCCACGCATCTCGCAAGACTGTCACCTGGCAGGATGGCATCAGGACACAGCCTGATGGTGGAGTGGGGGAAGGGCTTTTTCCAGCCTGTGTGAAATTCAGAGAAACTTAACCACTTCGGCTCCTACTTGTGGTGTGAAATGAGCTCAGCCATGATGCGTGAACAAAACCTTATTGTGCCAAGTCTTTTAAATTCAGGCTGTCCATACATGAGGCCTGCTGTATACAATTTTTTTAAGCATCAAAACTTCCAATTAGATTGCCACCCCAGTTATTCTGGGTCCTGAGGGATAGAAAAGTAAAGCTGTCTCTTGGCATGAGATTCAAAGACAAGAATTCCTTTGTCTTAAGCCAACATCTTTTCCCAGAGATGACCATGCCGTGTAGGGCATGGTCATTCAGATGTGTGCACTTGGATATGTGTGATGGATATGTGTGATGGTCATTCAGATGTGTGCACTTGGGTATATGAGATGGTCACTCAGATGTGTGCACTTGGGTATGTGTGACGGTCATTCAGATGTGTGCACTTGGGTATGTGAGACTGTCACTAAGATGTGTGCACTTGGGTCTGTGTGACGGTCACTAAGATGTGTGCACTTGGGTATGTGTGATGGTCACTCAGATGTGTGCACTTGGGTATGTGTGATGGTCATTCAGATGTGTGCACTTGGGTATGTGTGATGGTCATTCAGATGTGTGCACTTGGGTATGTGAGATGGTCACTAAGATGTGTGCACTTGGGTCTGTGTGACGGTCACTAAGATGTGTGCACTTGGGTATGTGTGACGGTCACTAAGATGTGTGCACTTGGGTCTGTGTGACGGTCACTCAGATGTGTGCACTTGGGTATGTGTGATGGTCAATCAGATGTGTGCACTTGGGTCTGTGTGACGGTCACTAAGATGTGTGCACTTGGGTATGTGTGATGGTCAATCAGATGTGTGCACTTGGGTATGTGTGATGGTCATTCAGATGTGTGCACTTGGGTATGTATAATGGTCACTCAGATGTGTGCACTTGGGTATGTGAGACTGTCACTCAGATGTGTGCACTTGGGTATGTATGACGGTCATTCAGATGTGTACACTTGGGTATGTGAGATGGTCACTCAGATGTGTGCACTTGGGTATGTGAGATGGTCACTCAGATGTGTGCACGTGGGTATGTATGATGGTCATTCAGATGTGTGCACTTGGGTATGTATGATGGTCACTCAGATGTGTGCACGTGGGTATGTGAGATGGTCATTCAGATGTGTGCACTTGGGTATGTGAGATGGTCACTCAGATGTGTGCACGTGGGTATGTGAGATGGTCACTCAGATGTGTGCACGTGGGTATGTGAGATGGTCACTCAGATGTGTGCACGTGGGTATGTGAGATGGTCACTCAGATGTGTGCACGTGGGTATGTGAGATGGTCAATCAGATGTGTGCACTTGGGTCTGTGTGTCGGTCATTCAGATGTGTACACTTGGGTATGTGAGATGGTCACTCAGATGTGTGCACTTGGGTATGTGTGAAGGTCAGAGCGCAACCTCAGGTCATCCTTAGGAGCCATCCACCTTGTTGTTAGAGACAGTATCTCTCACTGACCTGGAGCTCCTCCAGTAGTGCAGGATGACTGGACAGTGAGTCCCAGGAATCCTCCTGCCTCCATCTCCCCAGCACTGGGATTAAAAGTGCACATCCATATGCCTGGCACCTTGTTTTTTTAAAAAAGGGTTCTGGGGATGGAACACAGGTAGGTCCTCATTTGCAAGTCCATTCTTTACTGACTGAACCATCTCCCCAGCCCTATATTTAGTAACGTTTACAGGGTTTAAGCTGTGGGGTCCTGGAGGGGAAAGCTGAAGTTATAGGCTTTACTACAAACTTCCAAGACTCAAAATTTGAAACCAGCTCCCCATCCGCAGCTGATGTAAGGACGCTCCAATCCCATTTCCTCTCCAAAAGCCTCACCTAAAACCACTACAGATTGCACATCAGCCTTAGTTTCTCTTGAAAAGAAAAATCCCAAGCATTTTATTAGAAAAAATTTCTGTAGCACGTTCATCAATCCCCATGACAGCAGCGTGGCTGTTCTCGGCATTACAAATGAACCCCTGAGACCCCATTGCTTCTTCATGTCAGCATGTGGGTACAATTCTTCAGGACGGGGGGGCAGGCTTTAAATTGCCTGCCTTAAGGTTATTTCAGTTTCGATATATTATAGGACACGACGGAGGCGTAACTGAGACCCATAATTCCCGAACTCCAAACGGCATTTCATCAAACCCCCTAGTCTCAGGGCTGATGGTTGGGCTTGCAGTTGAGTGAGCAACAGAACAGGCAGGAGTTTTAAAACACTCCACTGGAGGCATTTTCCCCATAGGCTGACTTGGCTGCTGTCCCATCTCAATGTGAACAGTTAGAAATCCTGTCTGTTTGGAATCAATGGATTCAAGGAAACTCTGGCTGTGGCTGGGGTAGCTGATTGCAGGAGGAATACAGTAAATCAGAGGGGCCAATAGAATTCTTCTGTGGGCTTTACAATCAGGTGTGAGTCCCCATTTGTACAATTGACTGTCTTCTGTCTCACAGGGATTCTGGAGTTTGTGTGACCCGAGATCGTGCCCTACTTCTTCTTTGTGCCTCAGACGATGAGAACAGAAGATGTAGAGGATTTGGATTGGCTCTTAGTGACCAAATGCCCTCTAAGTTCTTCTAGTTGTTTGGGTATGGAGGGTGGGCAGGTAGAGCAGGACCTCACAGGACCATCTAAGTCAGTGAGTTACCAAAGTTTATAGCCTGCTCCTTAGACATCTGATGTTAGTTTTTGTTTGTTTGTTTTTTTGAGACAGAGTTTCTCTGTGTAACAGCCCTGGTTGTCCTGGAAGTCGTTCTGTAGACTAGGCTGGCCTTAACCTCACAGAGATCCACCTGTCTCTGCATCCTAAGTGCCAGAATCAAAGGCATGTACCACCTGTACATCTGATGCTTTTTTTTTTTTTAATTTTTTGAGATAGGGTTTCTCTATGTAACAATCCTGGCTGTCCTGGAACTAGCTCTTGTAGCCAGGCTGGCCTCGAACTCATAGAGGTTCACCTGTCTCTGCCTCTCGAGTGCTGGGATTAAAGGCATGCACCTCCACCGCCTGTGTGCCACCATGGCTCATTCTCCTCCCACCATCCCTCCAACCCTATTTGTTTTTCTACGCGATGGAGACCCTAACATCCTAAAGCCCACTCCCCATCCATTTCCAAGAAAACCCACTTGGTTTTGCTATGGGATGACGGTGCTACTGGATCTCCATTCTTTATGCAGCTGTGAATCAAGATACTTTTTCTAAAATCTACACTCCCATCAGTATACACCGCCTTTCTCACACTTACAATTAAGGGACAGGAGAGGTGCCAAGGCAGGGTACTGTGGCCCGCACCCATAATCTCACCCCTTCAGAAGCAAGGGCAGGAGGTTTCTCAAAAACTCAAGCCTAGCCTGGGCTAGACAGCTAGTTCCAGGCCGGCTAGGGCTACGTCAGACCCTGCCTTGAGAAACAAAGCCAATGACGGAAGAAGTGTTGGCATCGGGGACAGGAAGCCGCAGCAACTGGCATTTGGCTCTCCCAGCTGTTCTCACGTGGCGTCAGACAGCCCCGGCTTTCGTCTGTCACTGGAAATGGATGCTAGACCACCGAGAAGAAAAAAAAAAAAAAGGCGTATTTTGTTTCAAAGCTAAAAATACCATTCCGTTGGCCCCTGAGCTATGTTAAATACACGCACACCTGCGTACATGCCAGGGCTGGGTTCACACCTGCCCTCTACCTAACCCAGTGTGGGAGGACGTGAGCAGGCTGGAGCCACAGCTCCGATGTAAACAGCGAACAAAAATCATTTGAGCTTTAGGTAGCACCTGCTTTCCCCGAGCTTCAGCAGGCCCATCTCTTTTTGTTTCCTTTTAAAAGCTAAGGACAAACCACAACACTTTCCCTTAAAGCCACCAAGGGCTGGAGGGTGCCCGCCAGGTCACTCACTAGACCAGTGGCTCCCAACCTTCCTAATGCTGCAACCTTTTAAGACAGTTCCTCATACTGTGGTGATCTCCCAACCTTAAAATGGTTTCTGATCATATTTTATAACTGTCATTTTTGCTACTGTAATTAGTTGTAATGTAAATACTTTTGGAGATAGAGGCTTGCCAAAGGGGTCGTGACCCACAAGTTGAGAACCTCCACACTAGACAGAGTTCACTTGCAAGAGTGCTGGACTCCAGTCCTTGGTTCTGTGGTTCCGTTTTTTTTTTTTTTTTTTTGAGTGTTCATCTGTCTGAAAATGAGCTTTCTCTCTGTGGGCAGGACATGCCAGGTTCGTCTCTGAATTTTCTTTCTTTCTTCCTCCCTTCCCCTCCCCCCCTTTTATTTCCAGAAGAAGAGCAGGCATGGAATGCCCTCGTCTGTCATTCTCTAATTTAGTTTCCTGAATTCTCATTACATTTAATCTCCAGCCCAGGAAAAAGATTTGAGAGGCGCAACGGATATAGGATTAACTCCGGCTCCCTCCAGGGTCTTCTGGGGCAGGAGGCTCGAAATCAATTTAGAGAGTTGGGGGGTGTGCACTTTGCTGAATAGCAAACATCAAGGCACCTTGCCCGTAGTCAGTCTGAAGTATACTTTTTTATTTTATTTATTTTCATTTAAATAACTTATTTTTGAGACAGGGTCTTATATAGCCCAGGATGGCCTTACATTGCTAGGAGTGCTAGCCTTGTGGGTAAGCATTGTCATACCTGGTCTAAACCCTGCTGGTGAGTGGGTGCAGGGCTTCCTTCCAGCTAGACAAGCTCCCTACTAATTGTTCTGTAGTCCCATCTATTAGATTGCCGAGGCAGCTGAAAGAGACAGGAGCCAGAAGGAGACAGGAGTCTAACCTTTCAATGGACAGGACTGTGTTTATTGGTGCACACAGCTGGGGGCAGACTCCTTCCGGAAGGGGACAAAGAACAGAAAGAATTGCATGGCATAGCTCACATTTCCTTCCTCAAGTCCCTGCCTCCCAGACTTGCCTGCTCAGGTGACACTGGCTCTCCCAACAGATGGTCAAGCAAGGTCCAGCAAGGTGATCTGTGGCCTTAGAGGAACGCTGTTTCAAGGACGAGGAATTCTATCATCATCCACCCGAAGTCTGAAGTGTGTGTGTGTGTGTACCTTTAAGTTTTTTAAAATTGATTTTTATTTATGTGCGTACGTATTCTTTGTGTGGATATGGTACCATGTGCACGCCTGGTGCCCGCAGAGGCCAGAGGAGAGCATCCGATCCACTGGAAGTGGAGTTTCAGGTGGTTGCCAGCTGCTATATAGGTGGTGGGAACTGACCCTGTGTCCTCCGTAGGAACAGCCATTTCCCTTCACCACTGGGATCTCTCTGGCCCCTGCAGTATGTTCGTCATTGTGAGTAAGCACTGCACCTGACACACAGGCATCATGGGTTCTCAGCTGCAATACGGTGCATATCTTCCTATAACTTACAGGCAGCATCCTGTGGAAGTCAGGGATGAGGTTCACGGTCCAGCTTCTTCCCAGGGCTGTTGTTCCAAGCCATCCAGGTCCCAGATGGTACAAGGCTAGGTTTCCCCACGACCTCTCAGCTGGGCCAAGGGGTGTTCAAGCAGTTCTTCTGAGCAGGTGACCCGTGTGAGTGTCCTCAGCACCTGTGTCACACAGGTGTTTACCAGGTGCCAGGTCTCCCCAAACAATTATGTGAGCTCCCAGAAAGTCATCTTGGTGCAGCGTTTGGCATACCTATTTATAATTTTCTCCTAATTCAGTAAGACCACTTTCCCATCCTGGGGGTCCTCGTGGCTCTCCCACTGGCTGCCTTTCCTTCTTCCTCCCATGGATTTGAACACATCTTTCCATCAAGGGTGTGAGCAGATTGGAGTCATGTTTCACTCTGGAGCTGGATGACTTGTCCTGTTGAATATATAAACTCCTGTTTTGTACACATGCTGTATGTGCATCTATGGCAGTGTGGTGCATGTAGGTCGTGTGTGTGTGTGTGTGTGTGTGTGTGTGTGTGTGAATACACAGGTCCTGTGTGTTGGACTGAGACCTCTCCTTTAGCTAGGGAGCCTCCCCCTTGTTTTTCCCATGTACAGAATTATATTTCCTTTGAAATTAATAAGCACATTTTTGGAAGGCACTTTTGATCTCTGGCTGCAAGTAGACTTTCAGTCTGAGGCTCAGGCACACATTAGCAGCTCTACACTGGGAATCAAGGCTTGGGCTGCCTTCTCATCCTGACCCTTCCTCCCCTTAGATTTTATTAAGGAAGATAGCTTATCATTTATTAAAGGCAATCGCTTGACTCCTGACCTTGGATTCCGGTGCCTGAATTCCAATTCTCCGACCTTGCGTCCACACTCTCTCCGTAGTTTCTGGCTCAGACTTTAGTCAAACGTGCACTCACTAAGGCTTATCTGCTAAGGTTAGTTAGGAAATTCAGAGTATGGGGGGGGGACATAAAACCCTCAGCATAACTTAGTGATATTGAATTGAAATTCAATTCTAGTAACTTTTTAGACAATATATTAATTATGCATAAAATGTATGCATGCATATGACATTATACATTATGATATTTTCATACATAATGTTTTATTATTTATTTATTTTGGTTTTTTGAGACAGTGTAACAGCTCTGGCTGTCCTGGAACTCACTTTGTAGACCAGACTGGCCTCGAACTCACGAAGCTCCACCTGCCTCTGTCTCTCCAATGCTGGGATTAAAGGCATGAGCCACCACTCCCTCGCCATGTTTTATTTTTTTAAAAGATTTTATTTTGTTTTTATTTATGCATGTAAATCTGTGTGTGGATACATTCAGTTGGGTGGAATGCTTGAGAAGGCCAGCAGGGGGCATCAGCTCCTCTGGAGCTGGAGTTGCAGACCCTAACAAGTGGCCTCATGAGCGCTAAATTAAACTTGGGTCCTCTGCAAGAGCTATAAGCTCTCTTAACCATCATGCCATCTCTCCGGCCCCAACATATGAAGTTTCTTGATCATATTCCTTTTTTCTGAATTTTCCTTCTTTCATATGTTCATTCTTTTTTCATTTTTCTCTCTCTACATTGAGTTCAAGAACCTACACTGACCTCAAACTTGACATTATCCTGGTTTTGGCTACTTCTTACTAGGATGGAAGGCATGTGTCATCTCACCTGGCTTAGAATGCGTGTGTGTGTGTGTGTGTGTGTGTGTGTAAGTGTGGGGTGAGCGTGAGTGTAGTGCTGTTATCAAAAGGTGCTCAGGTGTGCAAGGCAAGCATACTACCCCTGAGCTGCCTGCCCAGCCCGCAGAATCGCTTTTAACGCTTTTCTAAGACAGGGCTCAGAGTCTTCCCTGTCGGTGTGAGTCTGTCCAGAGTCATTCTCGTTATTCTCTTTGCTGACCATGTCCCTCCTGCACTGAGCTACATGTATGACACATACACCATTTTCATTCTCAAGACTCAGGTGAGTTCAGAACATGGTTTGCATGAAACGGAAATCGCCAAATGCCCATCCTCGGGAAGATAGCCTTGCACGTGTGTGGGTTTATGGCCAATTACAAAGGCTACAAACCCTGATATTTTAGATCAGCTTTTTCTGCTGAGTCTATTAATAGTTGCTAGCAAATCAATTATCTTCCAGTTGCCATAAAACACCTTAACATCTCCTGGTCTCAACGATGGCCCTTCCTCATGATTTTCGTGGATGTGAACTGTTGTGGTCTGTGTCTCAGCTGGGCAGCCTCTGTCTGCTCCGGGTCAGTCAGTGCTGTCCCCAGCGTCACCTCTGTTCTGGGACCTCACTCTGCCAAAATAAGTCTCTTTATCAGGTCTTTCTTCCCCCCATAAAAGTGGTATGGCCAGATGACCAGGGAGTGATAAGGCCTTTCACAGCCAAGGTTCAAAGGTCGCAGATGGACATTTTCCTGCATTTTGTTGGCTAGGAAGGCTCACACCCCATCTAGAGATCAGGGGTGAGGAAGTCAGCTTCACTTGTCATGAGAAGAGGCACCAAGAGTGATGCTCACTGCTGGTCCTACATCACAGATTTGGCACTCCTAGGCCTTCTTTGTATTAGTATTATTATTGCTGCTGTTGTTGTTATTCATGAGTGGCTCTTTTGCCCTTATGTATGTCTATGCACTACATTCATGCAGTACCTATGGAGGCCAGAAGGGGGCACCAGAGCACCACATCCCCTTGAACTGAAGTTACAGATGGTTGTGAGCTTTGTGAGCTACCATGTGGGTGCTAGGAACTGGACCTGGGTCCTCTGCAAGAGCAATCAGTGCTCTTAACTGCTGAGTCATCTCCCCAGCTCCTTTCCCTCTCTGTTTTTTTCAAAGCTATACAGATAGCTCCATTGGTAGAGTGCTTGTCTAACATGCAGAAAGGCCTGGGGTTGATCCCAGCATAAACTGGGCGTGGTGGTATATGGCTGTAGTCCTAAACTTAAGAGGTAGAATCAGGAGGATCAGAAGTTCAAGGTCCTCCTCAGCTACATAACAAGCTTGCGGCATGCTAGGACTATTATAGGAGACACTATCTCATACTCCACACATGAGAAACAAAACAGAAACAAACGAGAAAGAAAAAAAAAAAGAAGCTTCTCTACAAACATACGTCTGCTTTTAGAACGGTTGCAGTTTTCTGAGGTATAGTTGACAAATCCAACTGGCACATACAGAAAAAAACAACAGGACGACAAGACGGATGTGTGTGTTTCCTATTCCCCGGGGACATATGCTCATACCTAGCGTGCATCTGTGAATTTGTGAGTATGCTCACCCAGAAGCCACTTTTCTAGCTGCGTCAAGGAACTCACACTTTTCTCAACTGCAACTGTGCCCACGTCCTTCCTGGGACTGCTCACCCCTATCACTCATGGCTGGGGCAGCTCTCCCAGGCCCCATCCCTCCCTCTCTAGGGCAGAGACCTTGCATTTTCACAGGCAGAGTGAAACTCGGGTTTATCTATGCTTGGAGAAGCTCATGTGTGGCGAGGCAGTCAGAGGACATTCAAGGGGTCAGAAGGCCAACGTGGGGACCTCTGGTCTGCAGGCCACAGTGATGTCACTACTGCAACGTAGCTGTATTCCCCACCCCCACTGAAGTGGCCCCTGCTCTTACGTTGCAGAGATTGACCAAAATGCAGACAACCTGTACGTGTTCCTGGTAATATGTGGACTCAGGCCCGTGAAGGACCCTCTGTACTTGGTAGACGCGTTCTCAGGTATGTGGTCCAGTGTCTCCCTTCCTTGTCCTGTGGATTTGTGGATAGAGAGATGCCTTGCTTGGTCTTGTGTTCTTTCTGGATGGCCCCAGCTGGCCATGAGTGCCCAGTCCTCCTGCTTGAGATTCCTAAGTGAATTGCTGGCATTACACCGCGAGCCATCTTGTCTGGTGGGACCACTTTCCTTTCTTTTCCTTTTTTTTCCCTCTTTGCACATAAGCAGAACTATTTTTAGATCATCTCTTTGGAAACAGCCAGAAGGGTAATTTATTGGAACTACCTCTGTGTAGACTTGTAACTTCAGGTATGAAGGATGGCGGAAAAATTGGAAATAATTATAAAGCTAAAAGATTTGTTTAAAATTCTACCACTATTTTAAAGATATATAAAAATAAAGATCCCCTTATTTTTCTCTGTGTGTGTGTGTGTATGATGTGCGTGCAGTGCCTGTGGATACCAGCAGAGGGCCGTGGGACTGCCCCACCCCAGAACTGGAGTTCTGCCCCACCCCAGTTGTGAACTGCCATGTGGGTGTTGGGAACCAAATGTGGATCCTCTGCAAGAGTAGCAAATGTTTTTAACCGCTGAGCCATTGCTTTGGCTCCCAAAGAAACAAATTTCACATAAAAGCATATAATACTACACGTGGGCATTCTAACCAAGTGAAATCAATCCTGGTTAGCATGGGTGAAAGCATAATGACCTAAGAGCACAAAGCATGCTGTGGAGAAATTTGTAATTAAGCTGAATTGTTTTCTCAGCTGTGACTTGAAGCCACATCAGGTCCTTTATTCAAAGTCTTTTTCCTTCTTTCTTTTTCTTCCAAAGAATGGCATCAAGAAGAGCCCAATGTTTACATGATGATTGTAGGTCCTGAGGTGAGTCCGTGTGTTGTGAATTCCTAGCTGGTGGCTGCTTTTTCCTACTGATTTTGTTTTCTTATTTGTGTGTGTGCTGTGTGTGAGCGTGCGTGTGCATGCATGTGTGTGAGTTCAGTTCCTACTGGGGCCAACAGAGGGCATTGTATCCCCTAGACCTGGATTCAAAAGTATTTGCTTGTCAGGTGCCCAGTGTGGGTGCTCAGAATGGAACTCAGGTTCTCCGTAATGGCAGTGCACCCTCTCACTGCTGAGTCAGCTCTCCAGTCTCTCTTGTACTGACTTATAAAACATTTTCTAAAACTAGTGTATGTTCCTCTTCTATATACCCAGGCATTTTTTTCTCTTTAGGTAACTTTTCTCTTTAAGTTTGCCTTTTTATCATATTTTACTGTTTAATATGGCAAGTGTAGGGGTGGCCATGCATTTACAGCACACATGTAGAGATCAGAGAGCAGCCTTGGGGAGTCTTTCTTCCATGTGGGTCCCAGGGATTGAACTCAGGTGTCAGGCTTGGTAGTAAGCACCTCTATTGCTGAGCTATCTCCTTGGCCCATAATATGCATTTTTTTAAAAAAAGAAAACCATGGGGTGGAATGATGACTCAGCCATTAGAAGCACTGGCTGCTCTTCCAGAGGACCTGGGTTCAGTTCCCTGCACCCACAAAGTGTCTAACGACCACCTGTTACTTCAGTTCCAAGGGGTCCAACACCCTCACCGGGCTCTTCAGGCATTGCACGCATATGATGCAATGCATACATACATGCAAAACATGCATATGTAAAAATATTTAAAAAATGAAAATCACCTGAGTCATATCTCAGTAGTAGAACACTTGTCAAACTTGTATATGCAAGGCTCTGGATTCAGTTCCCAGAACCGTGTGTGTGTGTGTGTGTGTGTGTGTGTGTGTGTGAGAGAGAGAGAGAGAGAGAGAGAGAGAGAGAGAGAGGAGATAGATCAAAGTTAAAGATTATAGCTGCTGTTCACCTTTATGGCCGACTTACTGTAAAGATTGCAATTACTTCAAACTAATTTACTGTTGCAAAGACTAATTAGATAATTCTTATGGGAAAACTGGTGGCTCATATAAAGAGAAACTTATTTAAAAATATATAGGCCAAACTCTATGTATAGTCCAAAGTATTTTGGAACCGTTTAACTGCTCAAACTGTGACTGTAGAACTGCTCTGGAACCCAGCTTCAGATCAAGCCACTGGCCTCTAATGGACTTTCATTTGCCCCAAGCACTTTGGAAAACAAAGTATACTCCAAGCTCCTAGCCCGATGGGATCTGCATGGTCATTACCACTCTGTCTTCATGTGGCTTCTGTTCCTGGATTCCCACTGTGTACCTTTCCCTCCAAACTCCTCTGCTGAAATCCTGTCTTGCAATGTACTAAGATGAAGTCTCTGGGAGGCGGCTATATTAAGGAAATGAGGAAGCCTTTGTCAATGTGATCAGTGCCCTTATAGAAGAAGCCCCGGAGAGTTGCCCTGACTTTTTCATTGCGTGTGGACACAGCAAGAGGCCACTACCTACAAACCAGCAAGCGCAGCTCATGAAACGCTCAGCCTGCTGATGCCTTGATCCTGGCTTCTAGCCTCTGAGACTCTTTGCCACGTGTGTAGGTTCACTCAAGTTATAGTACAGCACAGCAGTAGCCTATCAGAGCTACGGCATCAATCCTCTGTGGTGCTCAGTGGGATTCTCATCTGTGCAGTGTGAGCCACCTCTTCCATCTCCTTGTTTTGTTAGGCCAGGTGGTGAGAAACCAGCTGGGAGTGTTTGCTAACTGACACCAACAGAGAGGGTATCCACAATCCTAGGAAACCAACGTACACCAGTCCATCTTGGTGAATCAGGGAGATTATTGGTGTTACTGGCAGGACCATGGGTGACTCAAAAGCTAGTAACAACACCCAAAACGCCACCCAGTCTGGGTGATGATGCATCCCTGGGGCTTCCTGCCCAACTTCCAGATAGTTCCCCTGAAGAGTCTCCTCTTCCCTGGTTACAGCTTCCCTGCTTCTGAGACCTCAGGGGGCTCAGTAAGTTCTATGACTGTTGTGTCTTTCCGAAGCCTCCCACCTCCATCCAGGAGGAAACGGATTCTCCATAGCATCAATCAGTCGGTCTCACTTTCACTCAATGGTTTAGAAACTCGCCCCCAGAATCTAGCGACCACTTTCTACAACTTCTCAGAGCCTCGTCCATTTGTCTTATTTATTCTAGCACCCCGTGGACCTTCCCAGCACGCACAATTGTTCTGTTTTCTTACAGCCTTTGGGAAGAATTGTGTTCACCTAGAATGAGGGCAGAGATGCTATTAAAGATAACCAAGATGGGGAGGGGCTGGTAAAATGGCTCCGTGGGTGAAGTGGGTGAGGGTGCTTGCTGCTAAGCCTGTTGGCTCGATTTCAGTCACAGGGATCCACTTAATGGGAGAAAAACAATTTCCAGGTGTTGTACAGTGCTACGTGTGCAGCCAAATTTAAAATATACATACATACATATATACATACATACATGCATGCATGCACAGTCAAGGGCTAGAATCTGTGCAGCCATGTCAGAGCCCTTGGTGAGAAGAGACCTCTTGTTAGTCTAGTGACATAATACACAGTATAGCATGTGGGGTCCCACAGTCTTCAGGAGAATCCCAACACTTTAAAAGTTCAATGCCTCTTAACTGTGGCTTCCTGTTAAAATCAAAAGAAGTTACACACTTCTTACTTCAAGAGGGGAGAACCAGGGCATAGTTAGAATCAGACCAAAGCAAAACCAAACTCTAACAGTGTCCGACATCTGGGACTCCGTCATGAACCAGGCTCCAAAGGGCTTAGATAGTCCCAGCCCTCTGGTTCTGCCACCACAGCACACACTGCCTGTCCTGCAATGCTCAGGGTAGCTTCACCTCACACCCATCACTGTCCCCAGTGGTCACCCCATCATCTGGCATCTCTAGTATTCTGACATCACCCCTGAAACTAAAGCTTCACCCTCCTCAGTGATCTCTCCCATTGCCAATGCTCAGCTTTTCTCTATGAGCCCCTCAGTCCTGGGGTCACCCATGTAATCGAGGCTGCACCTTGACCAGTTATCTTCTTCCTGGGCTCCCTTCAGGGACTCTACCTCTGCCCCCATGGCATCAAGCCTCAGATTCTCTCCACGACCCCTTCAAGCCTGAAGCCTCCACTACAGCTGCAGCTATCACTCCACCAATGACCTCCTGACCTTTCTGAAGGGACTCCAGCCCTGCCTGCCATAGGGTCCTCTCACCCTCTACGCCCTCAAACCAGATCCATGTAGGGGATTTCCACACCTTACTAAATTTTTAAATTTTTTTGAAGATTTATTTATTATGTATATAATATTTCGCCCACATGCAGGTCAGAAGACAGCACCAGATCTCACTACAGATGTTTGTGAGCGGGCTGGAGAGATGGCTCAGTGGTTAAGAGCACTGCCTGCTCTTCCAAAGGTCCTGAGTTCAATTCCCAGCAACCACATGGTGGCTCACAACCATCTGTAATGAGATCTGGCGCCCTCTTCTGGCCTGTAGACAGAATACTGAGAATACTGTATATATAATAAATAAATAAATCTTTAAAAAAAAAAAAAGATGTTTGTGAGCCACCATGTGGTTGCTGGGAATTGAGCTCAGAACCTTTGGAAGAGGAGTCAGTGCTCTTAACCTCTGAGCCATCTCTCCAGCCCCATACACCTTACTAAGTTTGATTGCCAGCTTGAGGTGCAGCCTTCTGAACCACTGCTTCTGTGTGCCAGCCCCAAGGAAATACCTTCTAGAAGATTCCTCCTGAATGGCGCTGGTCTCTCATTAATCACAGCTTAATTTTCAGTCCCAGCAAACCAGAAACCAGGCTTGCAATTTAAAACATCACATGAAGGAACGGCCCTGATAGGGTCTCTGAGAGACTCCCAAACTTCCCTCAGATACCCGTAAGCCAAGTCTGTGCTGCTCTTAGCATTATCCTCCTGCCATATACAATAGCCGCCCACCAAGGTCCGAGGACTCAAACATCCCTTCAGCCCAAAGCTCCCAAATCCTTCCATAATCTTCCCCCAAAACAGCCCAGTCAGCTCCATCATGGCAAGATGCCACTTTCTGATACTAGCACCCCCCCCCCCCCCCCCCAGTTTGTTTTCTGTTCCTGTGGTAAACGCCATAAGGAAAATCAACTTAGACGGGGAAAAGGTTCATGTGACTTACAGCTCACTGTCCATCATGAAGGGGAGCCAGGGCAGGAACTCAAACGGTATAGGAACCAGAAGGCAGGAACTGAAGTAGCGGCCATGGAGGAACGCTGCTTATTGGCTTGCTCCTCCAGGCTTGCTCAATTTGCTTTTTTATATGACCCAGGCCCACCTGTCCAGGGGTAATACCACCCACAATGGGCTGAACCCTGCCTACATCAATCACCAACCAAGAAAATACCCCTCAGACTTGTTCACAGGCCAATCTGACAGGGGCAGGTCAGTGGCACTCCCTCCTGAAGCCTGCACAGTGGCTTCTCCTGAGATGAAATTCACCAAGGTCGGGGCTGGCTCAGGTTGGGTCCTTCTCAGATGTTCTTTTCTGACCTTTCTCTACAAACTCATTCTTTACCATTTCAAAACCTCCACACATCTAAAATGGTCACAGTCAAGCGCTCAATTTATCATCTCTCTGAGTCTGGAACAGGAGGAGATTTAAGCCATTTTGTACTTGACTTGGAGTATTTGCTGTTGTGTTAGGGGCTCACATGCTGATAAGGTGAGTTTGCCAAGTGGCTAAGTGTCAGGACACATTAAATGCCCTGTTTTAATGGCTACAGCATACATTAATACCACCCCACCCCACCCCCAAGCCTCCTGAATCTTCCTGTCTGGACCCTGATATGAGCGCACTTTCTTTTGGTCCATTTCTGCCTTTGCTCTCTGCAGAGCTGGCGTCTCAATAAGCACTTGTGGTATAAGTGGGATGCTTGCCGGACT